GCGTCAAGTCGTTCGTAGAGGTAAAAATAAAAAGCACCCCATTTATTGAATGTCTATCGTGGGCCCATTCATCATAGTCCACTATCTCTTATCTTTGCTGTAACCTTGTAAAGCAGGAATTATTAGTCCAGTTTTAAAGACAAAACTAAGTTTCAGAGCAGGTAAGTGCCTGTCCTGGGGTCTCATTTCAGCATCCCTGCCACATTCTGCGGTGAGTAGTGCCTCGGCAATCTGGCATAAAAACAGAAGTGCAACCTAAGTATCCTCAGTAAATTTGAGTAATATGATTCTGCTTTTCTGCCAGGCGTTGGTTTAAAGCAGCAAGAGATTTCAGAGATGACCTTGCCTATACCCTTGTTGGGCGACCCAACTGAAAACGAGAGGAGCTAACGACCTTCCGAAGGCCAAAAAGCAAGGCAGCTGCATAGCTTGGGTGTAGACCCGGGTCCTGCGGATTAAATCACACAGGGTTTTATCTGTGTGATAAACACTCCTCTCAACTCTCTAAAAAGGGCCACAACGCTGTTGAGTGGGAGAGTCGGGATTAGAACCTCAGATGTCAAGGCTCCCAGCCCAGGGAGAGCCCTTCCCACCACACCGCGGAGTGCAGACACTGCGCAGTGAAATCACCACATCCCTGTTGGCACTTCCAGAATATATTTGTGTTGTAATACCCTTTAGTTAGACAATGAATGCACAATGCTGGCCTTTTTCATTTGGGAAATTTAGACGGAGTTTGGAGGGTTGGATGCCTTTCACATAATAGTCAACTCAATTTAGATTTGTTAATTGACACATTGTCCACTTGGATCAATTACATGATACTTTACAGTCCGGGGTCTTTGAAGGGAGCCAACTTCTAAATAAGTTAATGTCTCCATCTCTCTCCAAGGTATATATTACCCCTGACCTAAATCTACCTACCCCTTAGGGGCTTTTATAATATCCCTTTTCTGGAATTTCTCGCTGGCACAATAAAACCACTTTCTTTGGGGGTATTCCTTGCCTTGATAGGGGTAGTATACTTTCTCTTTTAAAAGGGAACCTGAATCTTTTGCATCTACAAAGTTCCACCATTTTAAAAACAGGCCCTAAAACGTGAAGAATGAAAGTTGAGCATTTCAGTCTTTTCACATCTTTATTTATCATTTCCTCAAGCATGATATCTCTTATCATAGTGGTTGAACAACCTGGGAGCACCTGATCATAATGACCCATGAGAAGCACTTGTCATTAACACCACAACTTGCTGTCTTCTCCATATGACTTTCATAGACTCAAGTTGCCTCTTTATAAAATTTATTACAAATTGCTTTTGAGACTGCTACTAGTTGTCATTCACATGTTACTAAGTGTCTTTTACATAAGTGTTTGGCCCAACGCTTTGTTACACTAGGTGAGGTAAGCCAAGGAACTCTCCAAGAGTACCAGGGGTGGAAGATGAAATTTTCCAATGAAAAATACAGCTATTTTGCAACTTCAGAACTATCATTGGCCAGGAGTTGCCCTTGGGAGTGGTTTGTCTGGCATAGAATATCTTATTTTGCAGCATGACCTTAGGATATAATTTGGTAATGAGATCATTTGGCAACCTTGAGATTTAATACAGTGAAATTAAATAATTGAATTGGCTGTGGTTTTTAACCTACCCTTCATCTTCCAAAGTGGACTTTGGCCAACATTATGAATACACACTTGAGCTTTCAAGACTTCTATTTTGTAATTAGAAATTGAATAATATGAAAGGACAACTCTCCCTGGTAGTACAGAGTGTCTTTATATGAACACATGGAAGCTCCTTTGCCGTAGCTGGAGTTTCCTCTCTAGGCAACATGCAACAGCCTTTTCCGTGATCGCTGTAGCCAACATTTCTCGCCACTCATTTTTATTTATTTTTTTTATTGAATTTATTGGGTGGCATTGGTTAATAAATTTATATAGGTTTCAGGTGTACAGTCTCACCACTTGTTTTTAACTCAGAAGGCATACATTGCATTTATCATCTTCGTTGATGGTGAAGACTGCTGTTTCTTTGTAACTGCTTGATTTTTCCAACTATATTAGAAGTTCTTGGAGAAGGAGCTATGTTTCATGTCTCCCCTGGATACATTTAAACATCAGCTTCAGGGACTACACACCTAACAGGGGCTCAGGCAGCACCAGTTGGTTGCATGATTGAAAAGCATTACAGGCCGGTTTCAGGGATGTTATGGGTTCGATTCCAGACCACTGCAATAAAGCAAGTAGTGTAATAAAGCAAGTAGTAATCTTTTTGCTGGTGGAAGTTCTTGCTTTCAGTTTAGAAACTGGGGGGGAAACAAAAAAGCCCTGGCTGAGGAGCTCAGTTGGTGAAAACACTGTCCCGATAACCCGGGGTTGTGGGTTCCACCGCTGGTCAGGGCGCTTATAAGTGGAACAACAAATCGATCTCTCCCATCCCCTTCTCTCCCTCTCTCCCTCTATTACTCTCTCTCTCAAAACAAATTTAAGAGAATAATATACTTTAGAAAACAAAAATAAAATGACATCTGTGAAATGCAATAAAACGAGATACGCTTGTATTGATTAGTTCAAGTGTCATCAATTCTACCGCCTCTTTTTAGAGTCCTAGGTTTGCATCTACGTACCCGTATAAATAGGAATCCCATCCCACATGCTCTGATTCCAAAGTCCAAGAAATAGAGAGGAGTGGGAGTATTAAATGTCTTATCTGGTTAAAAGATTGACCTTAAGGGACATTGAAACAGCAGCTTCCAAAAAACATTTTTTAGGCTTGGCACTTCTTGGTTTTTCATTTTACTATTGAAACGTATCATTTTAAAATGTTTTAAAATATCCAACAGGTAAACTAATAAATCCAAAGGAGAACGTTGCCAGGTGATACTCTATCTTAAAATGGTCAGCGTGACCTTTTACTCAGAGCTCCCAGGCCCTTTCCCCACACGCCCGTCTCCCCATATTCTTACCAGCTGAAATTTGCCCTAGTGCCATTCACTTAATACCTAGCCAGTAATTAAATGATGTGTTCTACACAAAACCACTGCTGATTTTTTTTTTTTTTTCCTGACGTGGTGCCTTTTTGAAAGTGTTTGCAGACGTAAGCTTATACATCTATGAAGGGAAAGAGCTGGGTGGAGCCAGAGTGGAGAAAGGTGTTTGAAATGGACTCCTGAAATACATTATCACATTACTGGCATTCACAATCTGGGGGATGAGGGGGTTAGGCTGCAAATGCCTTGAGAGCGGAGACCTCATCTTTTCTTCCATGCTAATGGCGCGCAATACATACTTTCCCGAGGTCATCAACCGTGGAAGGTGACTGCTTCAGTCAATATGCCCTCCCTCACGATGCCGATGGGTCTGTTCTCAAATCCACTTAGTCCAGAAGTTCTCTGTGACAGCAAAGGAATAAAACAAGCAGCAATGAGGGAGCAAGGGCTGGGCCTCCAGGGTTACGGAGCACGTTCAGAAAGGTATGCTGCCACATGTGGTGAACAGGTCCCCTGCCTCAGCACAGCCTGAGTCACTTCCTTCACATGACCAGCACTATCAGAATGTCGCCTTCCTTGTGGCTCTGTCCTAGGTCAGAGCTGGTGATTCAACAGGCAGACACCTCGCTCCTGGGTGGACACAGTGGCTGGCATGCTGGGAAGGCTTTCATTCTAATCATTTCCTCTACGATGGTCTGGGTACATGGATTCGGTCCTGGACGGGCTGGACATGAGAGCCTGTCGCAAACTAAATCCACAAATGCCACCTACCGGCCTACTCATCCCTCTCATTGTGTATTGGGGGGCAGGAGGGTACATGATATCAGTATGAGTTGTTACTGGTAATAAAGGAACAATTTTAGTTTGGTTCATATTCGGCATTTAAACTAGCCTGGCACATGGTAGTAGTCAACATGTGAATGGTCTGCTTTTCCCTAGTATATGTCTGTCTTCCACTAAATTGTAAACTCGTAAATGGCAAAAGCTGCATCTTGTCTTCACAGTTTCCTAGTGCTTAGTAGACTTGTGTCTAGTGGGTGTTCAGGGAATGTTCAAGGATTGAACTGAAAGGTAAATTGGAGTCTGATTGTATGGCCAGGCAAAATCTAGTTTATGGGACAGTCAATAAGGAACCAGACCCTAGTTCAAGTTCTTTCCAAACAGTTAAGGGAAGGCCAGAGGTTTCTCTTGAGCCTACGACTCAAGTTGACTCTAGCTCAAACAGTCTGCACACCACGGAGACACATCTTGGGGTGACTGGTTGTGAACCCCCTTAAGGACGAAAGGGAGAAAAAAAGAAGGTTGTGACTGCAAACAACAGAAAGACAGAGGGAAGGCCTTAGCTCTGCCCAAAGCCCTCACTTACGTGATCTCACATAAAGCCCTGAACCTTGCCGTTGTATAAACCGCATCCCATCTACCAGTTTCACAAGGCTTGTGTTCGCCAGGCTGCAGGCTCCTAAGGGCAGCGGCCCTACACATACCAGTGACCTCAAGGCCGCTAGACCCACGATTACAATAATTTGCAAAACGCTTGTTGGATGAAGTGTGTGAGCAGTAACCCGCGGCACTCGGACCGTAACTCTCGCCCGCACTGTGTTATGGGCCCTCCTGAGCACGGCTTGCCTTCTTCGCCACCCTGCAATGTCCCCCGTTTTACAGAGGACACAGCACAAATGAGGCAGGAAAGGGGCCCAAAGTCCACAACTGGCGGGCCTCGGAGGCGGAATAACTTTTTCAACCCAACGCTTTAGAGTGACAGAGCACGCTCCAAGACGTGGAGTGAAAAGAGCCAGAGCCAATAATTCATCTTAAAAGTCTAAGACTTCCGGAAAAAGAAGAAAAGAGAACTGCTCTCGGCAAGGGGCGGCTTCTAAGCACCTATGCGGGGACCGCAGCGCCGAACCTCGGCGGGGTGCGGGGTTCCCTCTCCCAGCCTCGCGATGCTCCAGGCCTCGGCGAGGTTCGGATGACTGAGAACTGGGTAGTGCGCGCGCTGATGACGAAAGCGGAAGTGCTGGGTCGAGGGCGGGACGAGAGCCCGAAGGGGCTCCGGATTGCGGAAGTTTTGTGGGGAGGGTCTGGCGGCTCTTGGAGCTCCGTGTGGCTTTGGAATACGTTCCGGAAGGGAGGCCGCTGCTAGAGGTCCGAGAGCCGCCAGCGTGCGCACGTTTGGGACTCGACGTCGCCGCTGTTGGTCCTGTGCCCTCGCTCTTCCGCGGGGAACCGCCTCGGGGCTCCACCATGGCATCCACCTCGTCCAACCTCCAGGTATCACTGTCGTCCCTCAGCTTGGAGGGCCGGAGCCGAGGGGTGGCGCGGGGACGGGGACGGGGGCGGGGGCCGGGGCCGAGGCCCGGGCCGGGGGGCGGGGAGGAGGGAGGAAGCGGCCGCGCCCCCGGAGCCGGGCGGGCGGGGGCGGTGCCCAGAAGCTGATGGGCGCGACCGGTGCTTTCCGCCCGCTTCCGGGGTCTCTCGAGTCCACTGGCTTTCTGAGACTTGGCTTCTATGCAGCTTTTTCTTGTTTCCTTCAAACCAGCCGACTTTGGCCCGAACTGGGCAGAGCTGTAAACAGACGCTTCAATCAGTGTCAGAGAGTGGAAAGCACGTAATGTTTGCAAAGCACCCCTCTGGACCAGTTTAAAATAGGGTGGTCCTATTTCTCGCCTAGTTCCTCAGGCTGGCATAGCAGAGCCTTTCTTCTCGAGCTGTCAGGCTAATGGAAACAGGAGGACAGTCTTGGACCCTGAAGAATCCGTGGGCGCATTGAGCATGCATAGAGATGTGTGTGTGTGCACTCTTCTCTGGCTCCCAAAATGTAATGCAGAAGATCAGGGAATGTTTTTTTAACTTCTTTGTGGCTCCACCTCCCCACTGGCACCGCAGTGAGCACGGTATTTTGTACACAGATCGTGGAGTCCTAAAATTGTAGACTTCATCGTTAGACCTCTGTAGAGTGGACTCGCAGAAATTTCTAAAGTGTCTCCCTTCCTCAGAATGGATCTGGAGCTTCAGTAGGGTTGTGACTTGGCCACGATGACGCCCAGTCCACTGGGTCAGTTTAGGGCAAAAGAGTAGAATGAAATACCTGTAAAGATTCCTTGTCTTGATCTTGCATCAATTGGTTAAATGGGCATTTATTGAGGGCCTGGTACAAGCACCAGAATAATGGAGGACCTACTTAACTCAGGACCATTGATCCTGAAGAAAGACCTCTGAGAGTAGACCCATTTAAATCTTTTCCAACAAGGTTGCATTACACTAAAATACAACAGTCTGCACTTAATGGTGGTTTTCTTGTAGCCCCATTCGGAACGGGTCTTTTGGTAAATATACTTGGAAAAATTATTGGCCATTTGAAAAAGTATTGTTCTTTGAACATTGAAGGTGATTTCTTTTGAGATGCCCATCATGTCATCCTTTTTGGTCCGGCAGCCTTTGCATGTGACTTGTGTATTCTACAACATGATTTTAATCCATTCATTGATACTTTTTTTTTCTTTTGGGAGATTTGCAGTTTCATTTTATAATCAGTTTGCATTATATTTGAATTGGATTGTTGGATGTTCTTGAGTCAGCTAGAGGTTGACCTGCATTAAAGGCATAGATTCTACTGTTAAACAGGGAGAGATACTGAGCTATAATTCTGTTAATGGTTGGTTCACAGATGCACTTTCTCATTCAACCTTTTCGGCCTTCTAACCTAGGAAACATGGGTGAAAAATACTCAGATAACGAATACCTTTCCCACCAAACAAGCCAAAAAATCCCTGTAGCCAGATGCTTGTAATCCAATGGAGGGATGCAGATAACTAAAAGTAAAAACTATAAAATAATACAATAAATGTTATTGTAGAATTAGAAGTTAATGTGGGAGGGCAGAAAGGAAGGGCATGTCTAACTTCAGGACGAATGAGAAACATTCACAGAGGAAGGATCGTGAACTTAATTTATAAAGGGAAAGGTACTAACACTAATTGTTTACCTGTTGTTTGATGTGATTTCATTTAATCCTCAAAACAACTCTTCAAGGTGAATATTATTCCAATTTTGCAGTAAGAAATTGAAGCTTACCAAGGTTAGATTTTGCCAAAGACATACAGTTAATTAATGTTGAAGATAGTTTTGAATCTAGGTCTTCGTGCTTACAAGTTTGTGCTTTTCTCACTACAAGATTATGCATCCTTGGACAAAAAAGTGGGACTCATTCCAGGCAGAGAAACACAACATGTCCTCAATTTAGAAGTGTAATAAACCTTGGAAAGGGTTAGGAGAAGTTGCAAGTGATGCATAGAACTTAAAGCTTACTCAGGACTGAGTATCTTTTGGAGTGTCTACTATGCCATGCATTTTGCTAAATCTTGGGGAATCATGAAAGAAATAATATTATTCTTGACTTCCAAGGGCTTATATTTTGGTGTGAAAATAGACATGTAGAGTGACCAATAGGATACTTTTTGATCGCTGGAAGTGTGCCCAGGAGGCAGTGGCAATCTGGAGGAGGCACAGGAATAGGCCCCCTGAGGGTGCTGGTAAGGGCTTGGCGGCAGGAGGACCAGGGCCGCGCTGGTCCTGCAGAATCTGGAGTTTTACAACAGACAGTGGAATCGAATGTTCCAGGTGGGGGGACACCGAGGCATGAAGCCTGAGTTGTCTGGGTTGTCCCCTTAGTTTGGAATGACTGGAACTGAGTGGGCAAGGTGGGAAGATGAGCCTAGGTAGGCCATATCACATAGATGACTGATCCTCTTCCAGGTCTAGATGGGGAGTCACAGATAGTGATGCGCTCAGGGGAACGGAACTATCACATGTCCAGGAAACAACTTGACTAGTCACAAGCCTGGAGCAGGAAGACAAATTAGGCAGGGTTCTTTGTGATGGGAGATGATGAGGCCTAAAGGAGTATAGTCCCTGCTAGAATAAAGAAGAAGAGAGTGATCAGACACAAATCGAAGAGGACGCATAGTCAGGCTTGGATCTGCATTTAGAAAGTGAGGGAGGAGGGAGAGTCTGGCTTTTCTCCCCATTCCTGGATTGGATATCTGAGCGGGTGGGAATTGGTTCTGGGGTTACAAGACGAGGGGCATATTTGGGGCCAAGGTGGTTCTGAACTTCTCGAGTTTGAAGTGCCTATGGGGACAATCGAGAGGAGATGTCCAGTGAGCAGGTGGATGCGTATGTGTAGGATTAGAGAGAGAGGGCTGGGCCGGACACAGGAATTTGGGAGTTACTGGCATGCAGATGGTAGCAGAGGTTGTGCACATCTTAGAGAGTTTATAGAAGGAGGGAAGACGTGGACCAGGGTAGAAACCCTGGGGAATAATGGGCACTTATGGAGCGAGAGAAGGGAGCCTGGAAAAGAATCTTTATGTAGCCAAAGTGAAACCAGGAAAGAATGGCGCCACGAGGGCCAGAGCAGGAGGCTGTGTCCTGGGGTCTCCTTTTACGGAGGAATGGCAGGGAGAGGGAGGTCAGTGACTGAGAGATTTGGCGATCGGGGAGCAGGAAACATGGACGTGGGGAGGGATTGAGAAACCGCGATGGGCTTGGGGTTCTCTTCGGGACCTTGCGGTGATGAAAAGGTAGTAAGATGGTAGCCAGAGCGGAACCTGGCGCTGGGGAGAGCTGGTGTGTTTTGGTTTGTGTCTGTAGGTCAGAGTCTGAGGTAGAATTTACATACTTTTTTATCCTGAGAAGTCCCCAACAGAAGGGGAAAGGTTCAATGGGGGTAAACAGTAGGGTGGCATGTAATCGGTGGAATAAATGTCTCAAAATTTTTGGAAGGTGGAGAATGGGCTCAAGAGCACAGGGGGAAAAATTGGCCTTGACAGACGGGTTGGGACATCTTTCCTCTGGAGATGTGTGATTCTAGAATATCACCAGTTTCCCAGGGTTTTTAGTGTGGGCACGTCATGGTCTCCCAATCTGAAAAGGACAGTCCTAGATGTTCCCAACCCTGACCTTTCCGTATCGATGACTAAATCCTGACTCACGCCGGGATCAGGTATTCATGCAGCCTAGTGCCAGCCCCTGTGCTAGACTCTGGAACATGAAAGAGTGAACTCAGTAGGCAGAACTCCCATGCTCGTGGAGTTTAAGTTCCAGTGGGAGAAGACAGGCAGAAACCGCACAGCCCCCTCCCACAGGGGCAAGCCGCTGGAAGAATTTTAAACGGAAGAGTGATGTGCTTTAAAATTGAATAAATTCAGGAGTCATCAGCATAGAGATAATCAGCTTAAAACCTCAAAAATAGATTACACAGGGTTTGATCAGAAAGAAGTGACTTCGTCCCACCCAAACCCCGAGGAACCCTAATAGTTCAGTATTGTGTGCCCAAAGAAGAATGGGTAAAGGAGACTGAGCCGGCAGCGGCAGAGAGGGGGAGGAAGACGGTGCTCCGGAGCTCAGCACGGGCCTTGTTCAGGCAGGCAGTGAAGATACCGCAGAGTATTGTCAAGCAGTCACCGTGCAGTTGGAGCCGGCCTTTGGATCTGGCACCGTAGAGCCATGGTCTGACCCTCTGCTGATGTGGTGATGGAATGAAGCCCAGACGGGCTGAGCTGAAGGGGAAGTAGGGTAGGGGACAGAGGAACTGGGAGAGGCTGCTTCGGTGCGATTTCGGCTCCAAAAGGTTATAGAGAAATAGTACTAAGCCGAAGGGTGTTTTCGTGTCAAGCATTTCTGAAGGAGGGCTATTGTGTGCGGACAGAAATGTCTAGCGGAGAGAGATTCTTGCTAGGGGTGACAGAGGTGGAATACCAAAAGGAAGGTTAGGAGAAAGTGATGGGGGATTTTTTTTCATTTGTTCAACAATTTTAATGGCTTTGTGTGCCCATGTGTGGGCACCTGTGTGTGCCAGGCATTGTTCTAGGCTCTGCGGGGATAAAGCAGAGCTCAGACGAAGTCCCTATCCTCGTGGAGCTGACCTTCCTGCTTAAGGAGACAGCCAGCGAGTGAGGGTGCCCGTACGTGTAATGCTAGATGATGGGGTGGCGGTGCAGGGCCGAGAGGAGAGCTGGAAGCAGCGTGCAGTGTTGCCTGTGGAGCAGTAGATTAGGGAGGGCCTCCCTGGGGACTGCCATTAGAACTGTGACTCACAAGAGACCCTCAGTGAACATCTGAAGAGCAGGGAAGAGTGTTCTGGGTGGAGGGGTCAACGGAGCACAGGCTACTGAGTGGAGGCTGCCGAGTGGAGGAGTGAAGGAGGACCGCAGGGTTGCAGGCGAGGCCCAGATGGCGCCAGGACCCAGGTCCTTTAAGCTCTTGTAAGTCGTGGCCCAGCCCTTGGGTGTTCCTGTTCATGGTGGGAACCCACTTATGGCTGCCCTGCACTGGCTGCTCTGCGGACTCTGGGTGGCAAGTGAGGGAGCAGGCTGACCGCCGAGGGGCCTGGGCGATCGCGTGGATGCATGTGATTGTGGGGTGAACCAGGGTGGGAGCGAAGGAGACTGTACTCTGATAGAATTGTTAGCCTCCCAAACCGCACAAGGCACGGTCACCTTGATTTCAAATGAAAAAGGCTCACAGAAACAAGGATGAAGTGGGGCACTCAGCAGGGAAAAATGGATGTATAGCCTCAAATCATCGTCCTTGATTAAAGGCGTAACATGTGGTGTCCAGAACAGTAGCTACATGTGGCTATTTAAAGTGTACCTAAAGGAAATCTAAAACTCGCTCCCCAGTCACACTAACTACACGTGCTCAAAAGCCGTGCGTGGCTGGTGGGTCCTCTGTTGGGCAGTGCAGATAGATGCATGTCCATCACCAGAGACAGGCTGGTTTAAAGCCGTGGGTCCCATATCTGGAGTTAGATGAAAAATACTGAATGTAAGCGTTTTACCGTTACAAAGATCAGTGCAGGGCCTAGAGGAGGGCCGACGGGGAGGGGCCGGATTGCAGGGCGGACCGCGTGAGTGCACAGTCCTCCCGACTGACGCCAGGAGAAGGTTACTGCAGGATAGGAACGGTCGTCTTCCTGCGGCAGGGCTTGGCCCCCGGCCTTCCGGGTGCGTTTTTACGTGAGCGGACCCACTGACCCACCGGGCGACCACGTGCTCCCACCCCACCCTTTCGAGTAGCTGGCCAGACTTTTCAAAGTTTAGCTTTAAGTTCAGGTTCGTTGAGCTTTGAAACATGTGACTTCTGCATGTTGTCAATTCTAAAGCGTGTGATTTTTGTGCTTCCCTCCTGCTACCACGTGGGGTGCGGGGTGCTGGGTGCCCAGCGAATGTCTCTTCTCCCGTGTATAGCGCTTGCCCCTTTGCTGTGCAGTCCGGCGTGACCGCTGCAAAATGCACCATTCTGACGTCTGATTGGTCGGGAGCTGTTTGAGTCGTTTTTTTCTTATATTAAGCACATGCTTATTTCTAATATAGCATAAGCATGATCATTTTTTTCCTACTGGTTCTTATTTCTGTTGAGTACAGTTTTACTACCTAAATTAATCCAGTTGGAATGTTTTAATAAACCATGTTGTCTTTTATTTGTATGTAGGTGTATGCTTTTTGAAAGTTAAAGATAGTGGTTTAATGAACATTTAATTTGACATAATTACATATTCACCCTCAGCTGTGAGAAATAACACACAGACCCTGTGCGCGCTCTGCCCCGTTGCCTCGCGCGACGGCCGTCGGTCAGGTGGCGGCGCAGCGTCACAGCCAGTGTGGTCACGCTGATCGGTTTCCCCAGGCAGGTTCAGAGTCCCCTAGTGTTACTCGTACTAGCGTGTATTTGTGTGTGTGTCGAGTTCTGGCGCATGTAGCTTCATGTATCTGCCCCTACAGTCATGACACAGAACAGTTCCTTTCATCGGGATCCCTCCTGACCTTTCATAACTGCAATCACCCCTTTCTCCCCCGCCCGTGCCAGCCCTGTGTCGAGAGTGCCTTCCTTTCCGGTACTGACTAATACTCCACGGCACGGATGTATCCCACTTGGTTTACCATGCAGTTATTGATGGACATCTGGTACATTCATGTACAAGTTTCAGTGTCAACATACGGCCTCATTTTTCTGGAATAAATGTCCAGGAGTGCAGTCGCTGGTTCATAGGGCAGGCGCATGTTTAGATTTGTAAAAAACAAACCAGCCAGTTTCCCAAAGTGGCTGTATCTTTTTACATCCTACCTGTAATACATGAGTGGGCGATTTCTCTGTATCCTCACCACCGATCTCTCTGTAGCTTCATTGCCCTTTGGTATTGTCACTATTTCTTATTTTAGCCATTCTGATAGATACGTAGTGACATCTCAAATGTGGTTTTAATTTGCATTTTCCTAATGGCTAATGATGAACATCTATTCATGTGCTTTTATATCTGTATATCCTTTTTGGTGAGATGTCTATTCCTGTCTTTAGCCCATTTCTTATGTCGATTCTTTTTTTAATTTTTGAGTTCTTTATATATTCCAGATACCAGTCTTTTGCTGGGTATGTGGTTTGCAAATATTTCTACCAGTCTGTAGCTTATTTTCTCACCCTTTTAACAGGATCTTTTACAGACCAAAACTTTTTAAGATTGATGAAAATTTTTATTATTTTTCCTTTTATATATTGTGCTTTTGGTGTCAAGTCTGAGAACCAAGATTTTATCATTTATATTTTTATTTAAATCCATAATCCATTTTGAGTTAATTTTTGAACAAAGTGTGGGATTTAGGTTGAAGGTCGAGTGCTCGTGCTTGCTCTCTCTTTTCTTTTGCTGATGGATTTCCAGTGGCTGTCACACCATTTCTTGAAAAACCTATTCCTCTGTACTTGCTTTTACCTTGTTGTCAGTTAGTTAGATCTGTTTGTATGGGTTTATTTCTGGGAGGTTTTTTTTTTTGTAATACTTTAAAAGTAGTCCGTGTGCATTATAGACATTTTTAGACGTTGTGAAATTAGGAAATGAAAAAATTAAGTTTCATCAAAGATAAGTTGTTAAATTTCCTTTACATCTTTTTCCTGTGCTTTTTTCCCTGTTATTTCAGAAAGTTGAACTTGCACTGCATGTAAAAATTGTATCTTTCCAAAACCTTTAATTATAAGTACATTCCATGTTACTACAAATGTTTCTTAATATTATTTTAATGATTCTATAATTTTCCACTGTGTAGCATTTTTTTGCTGTTTAAAAACTTAAGTTACCAAGGCTTGTTTTTGTTTTTTAAAAGACCTTTCTGGTTACTGTCTTTATGCAATAAACCTTTTACTTAATTACTGGGTTATAAGACATGGGTATTTTTTATTATTTTTGATGTTTTATTGCCCCATTGCTTCTGAAAGGGTTTTACCCCATTTACATTTGAATGTTATATGCCTCAGATAAAGCAGTATTTGATTTTGAGAATTTCCTTAAGTGCCTTTTAAATTGAATTTTCAGACTATTTGATTATCTTGTGCGAGTTCTAAGCTTGACTTATGTTGAGTGAAAATTACTTGAGAATCTTAGCTATTGCTACCAGATGAACTTGTATTCAGATAGCATTTACCCAAAAAACAAATTTAAATTGCATTTTATAAATAGTTACAATTTATAATAAAATGTTATCGTGGTTTAGGAAACAAATGGAGGTTTGTTTTAAGATTGTTTTTATTTAAAACTACTTTCCATATGATTATTTACTTCAAACTCACACTTATGCTTTGATTTGGATTGCGTGATTTGGATGGCGTGATTGTGGCGGTTTCATTTTGATGGTCCGATTGCGTGATTTAGGTGGTGTGATTTGGATGGTTTCATTTTGATGGTGCGATTGCGATGGTATGATTTTGATGCTATGATTTTGCTTCTCTTCAAACAGAAAGCAATAGATCTTGCTAGCAAAGCAGCCCAGGAAGACAAAGCTGGGAACTATGAGGAAGCCCTGCAACTCTACCAACATGCTGTGCAGTATTTTCTTCATGTAGTTAAATGTAAGGCCATAGTTTGTGTTTTTATTTAAAAACACTAAAAGAAAAATTCTATTAATTTATGAAAATTGCCATACAGTACCAGAAAATTCTAAATCATCATCTTGTTTAAAAAAAAAAAAATCCCACTCGCTGTCTAGTATGCATCTAGACAGGCTTTGGGTACTCTGCTTAGAAAGGTGCACAGCTGTTACTGTTACTACTTTGCATACCTGAATATATGAAAATGTCACATAGTCAATGGAAATATGTTTTTATTTAATGTACCTAGGTTATGTAATCTGAACCAGTACATTTTCTAAGCATCTCTTTGATTTAAAAAATGGGTTAGGAAACTTTGTTCCCATGTATTTTTCAAATATTGGATGTTTACCATGTGCGACTCCATTCTAGGCACCGGGATACAGCAGTGAGGAAAAATGGGTTAAAACCCCTGCCTTCATGTATCTTAAACCCTATTGCTAAACTTTTTAAGTTATTTTTAAATATAAAATTTAAGTGATTGGATAATTTAGCATTTTCATTTGAGCTTCTCCATTTAACCTTAGAGATTTTTTCTGTCAAAGTAAAATTAAGAATGAATCATAACAAAATGTGGGGCTAATCCCATGTGCTGCATATAGCGCTGAAGTCTGCTTTGCAGGTAGCTCTCACAGACACCTGCCTGCATGGAGTAAATTACTATATGGTGGTACTGGGGGTTTCTCTCACTGTTTATACTCAGAAATAAAGCTCCTGTAGACATTAACGGAAATGGTTACTATTGCTTTACTTCTGTTTGTCTTATAATTGGTTTTATATGAAGCAGGCAGCTTTCAATTCTCTGCACAAAATGTAGAGTATGAAACCCACAGGATATTAAGTAATTTCTTATTATCCAAACATTATCTTAAAATATCCTAGTGCCTTGCTCAGATCTCTTTCTGACTCAAACCCACTGTTGGCCTCCAGCCAACCTGAGAAGGAAAAGAAAAGAATTGATAATCTTTGGTTACGACAAACTAGAGATGATCTTCCTCCCACAAAACAGATTTTCCTTGTTTAAAAATATAGTAAGAACCTAAACGTGCCTGGACAGAACACTAATGGAAAAATCTCCCTCACTTCCCTTTAACAGATGAAGCGCAGGGTGAGAAAGCCAAGCAAAGTATCAGGGCAAAGTGTACAGAATATCTTGATAGAGCAGAAAAACTAAAGGATTACCTGAAAAATAAAGAGAAAAAACCACAGAAGCCAGTGAAAGAGGGACAACCGACTCCAGCCGATGACAAGGGGTATGTATTTTAGAGATTTAAAAAAAAATTTATCTCTGATTAAAAGATAAAATTAAATTTTGTTTGTGAAATAAATTTCTTTTGTTTAAACTAGGTGTTGGCAAACCATGACTCATGAGCCAAATGTGACCTGCAGCCTGTTTTCTTTTTTTTTTTAATTGTATTTTTTCTCCATTACCATTTACTCCCTTTATACCCCCTCCATTTCTCAGCTTCTTTTTGTAAATTAAGTGTCAGTGGAACGGAGCTGCACCCATTCATTTACCTATTATCTATGGCTGCCTTTGTGCTGTATCGGCAAAGTTAACAAGGTTGAGGAGTTGCAAAAGGGACTGTAAGACCCACAAAACCTAAAATATTTACTGTGTGGTCCTTTACAGAGGAAGTTTCCCAGCCCCTACTCTACCAGGCGCAGGGGTGACATACCTCAAGTGACTGACTCTCTGTAACCACTCGATAGTATTAGGAAAGGCATTTGTAGGATGGCGCTCAGTTCTTCACCCTCTGGCCATAATGTAACATTGGAGTTTAAAATTATAGGAGCGATTTGTGAATTAAATCTTTGATTAGTTATATTGACTCTTAGTCTGTACTAACCACATGGACAAAATGAAAAATGACTCCAGTAATGTAAATAATTTTTTGGATATCTTATGTAGAGTTCTTTGATGTGGATTTGCTTTAGATTTGCTTTTATTTTGTCATTGTAAAGAAATCAACACAGCATAATTTATAAACATCAAAACCCAGTTTTGGAATGTCACCCTGGAGGGGAGGTATATCCCTCACAGAGGCAGAGGTCATTATTCAGTGAACTCGTGCCCAGCTCTGTGCTGAGCAGTGGGAACGTATTCTGCGCAGACCCTCTGACCGTTCTAGTAACTGGTGCCGAAAGTGTTTCCAGGTGCCAGCACACGCTAAGAGAGGGAGATTCTGGGATGGAGTTATTTGGCCTCTTGGGTTTGAAGGCCAGAGGTTCTGCTTGGCTTAGAGGAAGTGACAGCCATAGGTCATGGTGGGAGGGGCACAAGCGACTTAGCCAGTCCCCCATGGTCACCAGGACTGGCGCTCCTTGAAGGCAGTGTTGTGGTGGCTTGAAGGGCATGAGCAACGTGAGAACTTGAGTTAACTGGCTGCTTCAAACCACACCGGAGAGTTTGAAGAAAATTATAAGCTCAAGGTTGTATATTCTCTGTTCAAGACATGGGTCTGGGAGCCAGGGATTTTCTGGGACACAGAAGAGCGGTTTACCTTCTGCAGCTGTAGCACTGACCTAAGGAAAATCGGCCCCTGACTGGTCTTGTGGATTAGAGGACTTCAACAGAAATTCAACCTCATCAGCCTTCTCATAGAGAGGTGGGGCACCTGTTGGAAGACTGGGGCTCCAAACGCGAAGGGAAGCGGTTGGGAGGAGTCCAGTTGACTGCGAGAGTCTGGCCCCCGGCTTCCCTGAAGTTGCCTGGGCAGCAGGACGTCCTCGCGCCCTGAGAGCCGGGGCTCTCCTGGTCTCGCTTGAGGACCCGACAGTGCAGCAGGGCCCACTGTGGCTAATTTAAGCAAGGTGGGGTTTATTACAGTGTATTACCTTACAGAATTCGGGGGCCAGGGAGTCAAGCCTGGGTTCCACGCGTGTAAGGGAAATGCCCAGCTCCACCAGGGACCCCACCAATGACGGGGACCCACTGCTGCCAGCGCCCCTGCCAAGCACTTCCGATGCCAGGGAGCGGGGGCAGACCTCCACAGCCCCCTCAGGGAAGCTGTGCTCTCTCCCCCAGAGGTGGTCGTGCTGCAGAGCTCCTCTCAGTGGCTGGCTTCCTTCTTGGGGGAACTTCAGTCTCGTGGGGAGCCCTAACGGCAGGGGAGCCTAGGAAGGGCAGTGTTTAGCAGTGCGGCTTTTTCTGTGCAAAACACCACGTAGGAGGAGGTTGGCGTGAGTGGCAGCCAGCGGTTGGCAGTCTCCCCCTGCTGCCTGCAGCCCCGCCTTCCTGTGACAAGCAAAGGCGGTCCCATTTGGGGATAAAACCTGTCAGGCTTTTTAATCAGCCTTTGAGCTTACATTTGAAAAATGATATAATGCCTTGTTTTTTGCTTTATCACTTTTTCACTCAACATGCATCGTGAACATCTTCCCAGTAAACTATGTCTACAACATCATTTTTGTTAACATTGCAGTGTATCCTATCATGTTAATCCCCGTATTTGAACATATGCTATTCCTGTTTTTCCTGTTGCAAACAGTGTGGACATGATTATCCTTGTAGTCAAATCCTTGAACTCATTTTAAATTATTTCCTCAGAATAAATTCTTAGTAATGAAGTGCCTGGGCTGATCTGCTTGTTCCTTGGACGCAGTTTATTTTCATCACAAGCTTCATTTATCCTTTGGAACCCACAGGCTAAGGGCTGTAGACCGTTGTACCTTAAATAATGATTACTGGGTTTTTCCTTCCTAGTTACAGCTTCTTGTTCTGACACATAGTTTGCTTGGTTCTGGTGGTGGTGTTGTTTACAATTCTCCTGTAATTCTTCTTAATTCTTTTGCGGGATAAGGCGTGGGGCATGCATCTATATGAATTAACGTGGGCCTAGGTGCGGCATGGCAGTTGGGAGCTAGTTCCTGACTTCATGCTGGTCTTTTTGCCCCTTTCTTGTTTGTGGTTCCATATTAATGGGTAATATGCTGCTTAATAGTTTATTTAATATTTAAAATAATAAAATAAATATAACTTCTAATGTGAATGTCTTATTTTGCCACTTACAAGTATTTCGAGTTAATCTTTCCTTCATTTTTCCTTATTTTGATAGCAGTGAGTGATCATTTGAATATATTAAATTCTTTTTATTAGGAATGACAGTGATGGGGAAGGAGAATCTGATGATCCTGAAACAAAGAAACTACAGAATCAACTTCAAGGTTGCTTTAGATTTCCTTTTTATATTTACTATCTCATTTAAAAAGAATTCATAGTGAATTGTCTGTTCGAATTGCTTTCTTTCCCCGCTGTATTGAAATGAGATTCAAGAACCAGCTTTAGTTCCTGGTGGTCATATGCTCGTTTTCATAGCATTTTCTTCTTCGGGTCTCTAATGGGTTTGGTTTGTTTTTTTCCCCCATGCAGTAAAAATACTGTTTGGTTTTTTTTTTTTTCAATCTGCCTAAAAAGCCTCTCAGTTGACTTATTCTCTTTTATTTTGTGTTATCTGTCCCCCATTAGAGAAGGTAGCATTGAGACTAATAGCACACCGCCACCTCTGAGGGCATTAATATTTCCTGTGAGAGGGTCAGAATGAGTTAGCACTTGCACTTGGCTGTTACTGCTGTTGCTTTAGCTTATTTATTGATGGTTTATTTCATGTCTCCTTCCTGCTCTTCCTCATCTCCTTTTTTATCCTATCTCAGCACTGCCCTTTATCTCTTTCCACTTTCTGTTTTTACCTTCCACACGGAGGGGGTGGGGGACCTGTCATTTTCTGGACTAGAGTTGAGTGGCATGAGGGAGGGAGTGTAGATTTTGGCTCCATTCAGACCTGGATTCCACCCCGGGTTGGCCACTTAAATGTTGGGCAAGTTCCCTAACACCTCTGAGTCTGAGACCCTAGCTCAAAAATAGAACTGAATAATATTTTCCTTTTAGGGCTGGTAAAGATTTATGACAATGTAAAAACTGCCTAATGTTATATTTAACAAATTCTAGGAACTCAATAAATGGTAGCTTCGTATATCTAACAAGTAGTCTCTTTAACGACTTCTTTAGTTCCTGAGATTGGATTTTTTAAAAATGTCAGGTAATGGTTTCTCAAGGTGAATTTTATGTGTTTGGTCCATTTGCATCTTGCCGAATAGAATGCATAGCTGGGGCAGATCTCCATTATGTAGGCTCAGTTTGGTTAGCGGATGGTAGCTGTGCCGAGCTTGGTGAGCCCTTTTCACCTTGCTGTGCTAGGCCCTGCATTTTGGAATATTCTGTCTCACCAGCTCCTCTGGGATGAATAGGGGAATACTAAAAGGGTAGTATCTTAAAAACAGTACAGTTAATGAGGCTATTTTTATATACCTGGCACATCAGTGGGAGATGTAGTCCAAGGACAGAGCTGAGTTTCCACCGCCACACCTCTGCCCAGGGCAGCGTGGACACACACTTCTTACCCAGGGAGCATGGTTGGACAAGCCTGTGGTCCATGCCAAGTAGCCTTATTTCAGTTGTAAGGCAAAAAGTTTTTTTCTGTTTGTTTGTTTGTTTGTTTTTCTTTCTGGGGGGGCAGAGGGTTGGTTTGTTTCCCATCTTACCAGCCCTGCCCACCAAACCAGGTAAAAATTGGATTGTATATTTAATTTTGAAAATGATACAACTCAGTTTTTAATGGGGATTTTTTCTTTAAAAATCAGTAGTGAGAAGGACCAGAGGTATATAAAAAAATAGAAATGCCTAAGACATTTAAATGAAGAAATTTGTTTGGAATTTTAAGATGTAGAATATGAAAGGAGTCCTACTCTTTCATGTCTAAGAACCCTTTTTTTTATCTTTTAATTTAAGGGTTTGCTTATGGATTTCTATAATATAATGTATAATAAAATATTGCATTTTTTTTACTCTTTTGTTTTTTTCCTTGAAACTTTTAAATCTTTAATTTCTGTTTCAGGTTATGACACGAAGTGTAATAATATTTGATTGTTAAAATTAGAGTTTTTGAGTGTTAGCTAAATTTGATATTTATGACTTTTTTAGATTAAATAACAAGTTAGTTTATGTAATAAGTAGTATAATCAAAGACTACATAAATTATATCATTGGAAATAGTCAAATTATTTGGCCTTTATTTTTCAATAATTCCTCCCCTCTTTTAATTTTATAAACCATTAATCAATGTCTAGTAAGTAATACCACTTTTATTTAATAACCTTTTATCACTAAACATTCCAAAGTAACCTTTAAACTTTAAGATAAAAAGTACTAGTTAAATGTGAAGTTTAATTATGACATATTTAGAAAATTCATAGCCAAAAAACTTTAGTTGACCAGATGACACTTATATGTAAATTCGCTTTTGTTTAACTAATCTTATTTGGTGACATAAATTATTTTTCCATGTAGGGTATCTAATCTGAATGGAACATAGAAAAGAAAAAGTGAATTGGTTTTCTTAATTCATACTTAGTCTGAATTTTTAGAATGCAAGAAAGTGTTTATGGTCTTAGTTAATTTTAATATATAGCTAAAGATTTTCATAATTTAGGGAAGTTGCAGAGTGTAGCTACTCTTAGAATAATACATGTTTTCTAATGAGAAGAAATACCCATTAAAAAATTTCATAGGTAACCAGTTGTGTAAGTGATGTTTTATTATACTTAAATAATTACACATCACTTTGGAACAGACTGCTTAGTAGTTTGTAGTTGAGCAGTTTCTGTAATATACTGGAAAATTGGAAACCCTTTTGATGAAAGATAAACTAAAAAGTTTTGCCAATAACTATATTAAAAGAAATCTTTGAACTCTTATTGCAGCAATTGCTATGGCTTTTGAATATATGGTGTTCAACTAATTATTTAAATAACTTTGTTAATGTAAAAAAAAACCAAAAACAACTGTAAAGGGGCCTGTTTAGAAGCCAAGCAGAAAATCTGGCAAAGTTTGGAAAATCTACAAGAGTACATTTTCTCTTCCTCCCTTCCTCATCCTCTTCCCTTATCTCGCGTCCCCTCCCTTCCTCCTCCCTTCTGTCTCTTTCTCCATCTGTCTATCTTCAGTTAAATTTCATTAAGTGTATTTTCTTTCTATGGTTAAAAAAGAGTATTATTAGATCATCAGTTTGTGTTGTTCTTTGGTTAAAAGGAGAAATCACCCCCATTGAACAAGTACTTTCACTACTCCAGGATTAGTGCTATAATGTAATGTTTGGTGCTTTTCCAAGCACTTTAATATTTATTATGTCATTGGACCCTTACACTAACCTGTCTGAGTAGTGTGGGCGATGGTGGTATTTTTATTTCACAGTGAGGAGGCAGTCACAGGAAAGGGACTTACCCGGGGTCACCTAGCCTCCCACCCCAGGTCCCTGACACCTGCTGCCTGCTCCTTGCTCCCGCCCACGGTGTCATCGCACTCTTCCAGAAAGGGTTCAGAAAAACAAACATTTTTCCTGACAATTTTATTATATATTTCTTTAACATCATTAGTTCATGTTGTCTTCTAAATTTGATGCAATAGTCCTCCATAATTTAAGGCTGACATAATTTTTTGTAGGTGCCATTATTATGGAGAGACCTAACGTGAAATGGAGCGATGTCGCTGGTCTTGAAGGAGCCAAAGAAGCACTTAAAGAGGCTGTGATATTGCCTATTAAATTTCCTCATCTTTTCACGGGTAAGATGACTTTTAGAGAATTTGTTTTAATGATTTTCCAAAACTGCACTGATGACTGAGGAAGAATGTTGTGAATCTTTGTCACCACATCATGAGCTACTACCTTAAATAAATTCTAAGGCCATGTTATGCCTTTATACAAAGATACTTATTTCATATACATATATGTATACATAGTGTTATTATATATACTGCAAAACAATCTAAAGGTCAACCAGTAGACAAAGGGCAGACGTCAGGAGGGAGTGTCGTGCTGTGCGCTCTTTAAATAGAGTCATCTGCTTTCAGCAACTTAGATCTACACTATAGTTAACACAAGAGCATGTCCGACTATATTATAAAGATCAAAAAGCAAGTTATAAAACCTGCGTAGTACGATTCCATGTTTGTTAAATCCATGTGTGTGCTGAGAAGTAGGTGTAGAAGGATTGACAGAAATGAGATGGATCATTTTTACTTTTTCTTTTGACTTTCATCAGAGGTTTTTTCTAATGGACATGTACTAGTTTTATAGGAGTATTTCCATTCCTTAAAAAGAGGAGGAATTGCTTGCCTTTACGGGTGATGCGGGTGTCCCTTAGTGGCGGAGGGACAGCCCGTGGCACTGTGAGGAGGATGTCTCTGGCCCGCCCTCTGTGTGTAGCTGAGGCTGTAGCTCCAGCAGCGGGTGATTGGTCTGTGCCAGCCCGTTCCTTTTCGTTGTCCTTGCTGTGGCTGGCAGCCTGTGCTTTAGATTTGGCTATACCCGAGTCTGACAGGGACACAGGGTTGTCTGGGGGGTTTTTTCCCTCTTAAACACAAGCTGGTGTATGTAGGGAGCAAATCTGTGCTGCTGGCCTCAAAGGGAACAGGCCTAGACAGGGAGGTCGTGTAGCGCAGTGAGGAGGAGCAGAGAACATGCGGGCCGCCGCGTCCTCCTGGCTTCAAGGCGGGGCTCACAGCCTGACTGCGGAAGCTGTGAAACCACAGTGTAAGAGTTGCCATCATAGTCCTATAAAGGGACAAGTACAGATGGGCTGACCTTGTTTTATGTTATTTATACCAGTGTTTCTCAATCATGAGCCATTTATGTATCATCTTCATGAATTTTTTCATATGCGTGTGCCATCATGTAAAAAATATTTTTCTTTAAGTCCGTCACTTTTAGAGCAAACCTTTATTAAAGTACAGCATGAATATACGGAGACATGCAGAAACCCTAAGTGTTCCACTTCACAAATTATTGCTAAGTAAGTAACGCCGCACAGTCGTCGAGCAGGTCGGCAGACGTTGCCAGTCACCCGAAGTCCCGCGCTGCCTCTCGTCTCCCTAGCGGCCGCCCCTCTCTCAGCCCTGGACAGTTGTTTTGCGCATATTTCAACTTTTAAGTCATCTCACTTATTTTACTTAGTAACTCTATGTTAAAAGACTGCTTTCTATTTACTATGAATGGAAAAATTAGCATTTGTCTAATACACATTAAAAAGATAATCATTTAAATAAAAAGCTTTTGTATACCACCTAAAAGTACTTTAAATGCCACCAGGGGTCTGTGTACCACACTTAAGGAACACTGACTTATTGCAGGCATTTAAAATAGGAAAAGAGAATTCAAGTAAAAGTTGAGGCTTTTGAAACAATAAATACAACAATATTTAGCTTAGCCATTAGTCATCTACATATCTTTCTTTTGCAAACACTGTGTACCCATCCGCAATTTGCACTCAGTTTTTTTCAATGTATATTTGATATTCTATCGTCAGGCATAACCCAGCCTGATTTATTTCGGGCAGCATTGTAATTTCTCATTAGCAAAACTGAGATACAAAGAGTTGATTTGTTCACGTTATATTTTGGGAAAACTAAGGTTTAAGGCAGAGCCCCTGTCATTACTCAGCCGTTTGAATGAGAGCATGCTGCCTGTGGAAATGGCCTGTGCGTCCTGGCCGAACCAAGACCTGGGAAGAACTTCACAAGGGGTCAAGCAGACTGTGTTAGTTTCATTCCTCCAAAGGCCTTAAGTGTTTAAAAGAAAATATTTCCAGCTGCCTTTCCCCCATGGATATAGTTTCTCCAACAATATTCGGATACCAAGCAGTGCACCCAGTAGACGCTCAGAAGTGCCTTTTAACTGAACTCTTTTCCCCACTAGACTGTGAGCCAGCGGAGGGCAAAGATCCTTTGGTATTCATAGTTCTCTGCCCACGCATTTTGGCTCCTGTACCTAATGGTTGAAGGAGAGAGCACGCAAATGAACGTCCTGTTAGAAGGATTATATCCATGTAAACACACTTCACAAAGTGGTCTCTAAAAACAGCAAATAAAACACATTTAAGATTCACCTTTGATTTATTTAAAAAATGTTTTATTCTACTGAGAGCTTTAGAGTGAAACCTCTTCATAGTATTCTTCAGGATAGATGATGTCTCTGGTAACTGAAATCAACAGTCTGGAAATTCTCATGTTACTTTTCTTATGCAAATTTCAGGCAAGAGAACACCTTGGAGGGGAATCCTCTTGTTTGGGCCACCTGGAACAGGAAAATCATATTTAGCCAAAGCTGTAGCCACAGAAGCAAACAACTCAACATTCTTTTCCATTCATTCCTCCCACCTTGTTTCTAAGTGGCTAGGTGAAAGTGAAAAGTAAGTAAGAAATTGTTTGTTTTAGTTTTTATTTGCCTGGTAGTTACTATGCACTCTATAAAGTAATGGGTTTCTGACATCATTAACAGACATTCAGGAAAGTGACAGAATGTCGTTGGTCATTATTTCTGTCAAATCAGCCCATAGCTTGGAGTTTATTTTGTAGAGAGATAATATATGTATAGTTTAGTAAAGCGTAAAGTGAACTGTCCAATTGTAGCATTCTTACTTTCTGGACCAAAACATGACTAGGCTTTTTAATTTATAGTGTTCCTGTGATATTTTGTATTCTGTTTTCGTTTTTTGTGTTGTTTTGTTTTTGTCTTTTCATTAAGTCACGTCGCCTGTTATTTTTTAGAAACTGAAAGCTTTCATTTGTTTCTAGGCTAGTGAAGAACTTATTCCAGCTTGCCAGAGAGAATAAACCTTCCATTATCTTCATTGATGAAATTGACTCTCTGTGTGGCTCGAGAAGTGAAAATGAAAGTGAGGCCGCGCGCAGGATTAAGACGGAGTTCCTAGTTCAGATGCAAGGTGACGGCACCGACCTCTAAAATAGCTTCCATTAATTGCATAACCGTTATTATAACCGTAATATAAAAAACATCCGAGCAGTATCTGTGCATTCTAACAGGCCGTTCCATACTGCCGTGTTTGCTTCCCGTGGCCTTTCGTCCAGCTGCAATCATCTTAGAGGCCTTGCCAATATAGATAGTGAGGAGATCCATAAATTCTCTAACACCAGGAACAACATCAATAAAAGGAATGTGCAGACTTCAAATGAAATCTCTCCAGAAATGTTTTGAAAAGAATATTAATAGTATTTGTCCGCAGTTGAGGAGAGTCAATTCTTGGCAATAGTTGCATCATATTTTAGTAATTTGATATTTGATTCAATACGGTTTTTTAGAGAGAGACTCAAGATGAGGTACTTTGATGTTAAAGTATCACATTGTTAACAGAACATGGAGATGAGGTTTAATGAACACTAAAACGACAAATTGTCTAAAATACTACCCATGTTGATGCAGGGGTTGGTGTGGACAATGACGGAATTTTGGTTCTGGGAGCTACAAATATACCCTGGGTTCTGGATTCTGCCATCAGGCGAAGGTATGATGCCGTAGTAAATCTTTCTGTCTACAGATCTAACAAGTGACTAAGAATTCCCATCCTGTCTAGCGAGGGGTCATTCCAATAAGGTTTTAGAACTTTCTAATGTGCCCTAACCGTGTTGCCTCCTGCCTTGGGGGAAGAGAGGCAGGCGTCTATTTGTGTGTGTGTTTGCTGTATTGAAGATACGAGATTTTCAGACACTGGAATTTTCATATTGGGAAAGGTAGTACCTGGTACCCTTTAGTTTTGGTTATGCTTAGGAGGCACTTTATAAATTTACAAATATTGTTTGATGTTTCAGTGAAGAACGTTCATATAAAACTTTGGCAAAATTAAAATCATACAAGTTGAAGAATGATAAATGATATATTTTTAGTTGAAAAACATATGTCTGAAATTTTTAAATTGCATGTGAAACTTGAGCTACAGGAAAGGTAGCCACTCTGACAGACTTTTTACTGCTTCACAGTTCCCTATTCTAGTCATTAAATTTTGCATGGTAGAATTAATACTTGCATTTTTGCCACTTTTGTCTCATCCACTTGATGGTTTGCCAGGATGATAGATTACCATCTGGTACCAAGAAGGGAAATGTGCTGAATATTTTTGAGGATGGCTTAATTCTGAACCCATCTCTAGAGATGCTGGCAACTTTTTAGATTCTTCTCATTGCCAGAGAATTACCTGAAGGGAAAAGAAAAATCTTAACAGATCACTTGAATCTCCCCTCACCGCTTCCTCCCTATCTCTAATCCTGAAGTTCTAAGAGGGCAAGCAAAGTTATTGTTAATATAGCATGATGTTTATTTACGACATAGTAGAATTATTTGTTCTGGATACCCATTTTAATAAAGTGGACATTTCGTGTAATGAATATATGTTTATTCTAAAAGCTTTTGAGGAGTTTTCCTGTTTTGAATTTGGAGAACTATTTTGTCATCTCTAATTTTGTATTGTCAGCTGTATTAATCTTTTGATCAGGCGTTCAGAGTATAATTCTGTGGGAAGCTATAATGCTGGAGGACATGTCATGTCATGACTTGCAGGCTTGTGAACAGTATGGCCAATGTAACCCGAAGACTGTGTGAAAAGACTAAACCACTCCCAACTAGTTCCCTGGCTATTTTGGTTTTATTTGTTTTGTGTTCTGGATATTTTCCCTTATTTAATGTAAATATATGTTTAACTTTGGCACATATTGGCCCATTTAACTTACTCAACATTGTAGAAGTGATAATCTCTAAATACCGGTTTCTTCTTGGAAATATCCTAATTTTCTACTGAAATGAAATATATGTAGTAATATTCTTGATTTTTCAATTTTTTTTTTCATTTTAAGATTTGAGAAACGAATTTATATTCCTCTGCCAGAGGGCCATGCCCGAGCCGCAATGTTTAAATTGCACTTGGGAACCACTCAGAACAGCCTGACAGATACAGACTTCCGGGAGCTTGGGAAGAAAACCGAGGGCTACTCAGGGGCAGACATCAGCGTCATTGTGCGTGACGCGCTCATGCAGCCTGTTAGGAAGGTGCAATCCGCCACTCATTTTAAAAAGGTAAGCAGCTTTTATCCTTCCTCATAGGTTTTAAAATGAATTTCAAGACCATCATCGCTTTGTCTTGAAAGAATTTTAGAAAGGTTCTAGTTTTGTATAATAAATATGTGGATTTATATAAGAGACTACTTCTATTTTGCTGGAAATAAGTTCTCCACAGAGACTGGCCTTTGGGTGCTAGACACAAATACAATACACAAGCGATGCACCATGGAATTGTGTTCCTGAAACTGACATAATCTTATTAACCGATGTCTCCCCAATAATAAAGTTTTTAAAAATGCTATAGCAAAAAACAAAGTTTTTTTAATAAAGTTTGTCTATTAGCCATTATTAATAGTCCTAAAATACGTATTTTAAATTTTTCTATGCAATGACTTTTGAAATACTTACTATTTTGATACAAGTGTAGAAACTTGCATGTCTAGTTACCTCTATGTAACTAGAATATTCCAGAGCAGAATCTGGTGTATTTGTACCTCCTTAACAGAGTAACAGCGAGAGCAGCTAACACCAACTCCCGGCAGGCCTGGCGCTGTGCCCTGTTATCTTACTTTTCCATTGGGCCTTCACACAAAAGAGGCGCACACAGCCACCTACTGATACTTCACCGGACATGTAGGTGTCAGCACGATTAAACTGGGACCTGGAGGCTAACACCAGTCACCAAGATATAGCTAGGGAGGGGCACAGGTGCTACTGTCCCCCAGGTAAGGGCGCTTCAGAATCTGAAGTCTCAACCGTTCGGCCCTCCTGCTCCTCCCCTGCGTTGTCTGTCTGCAGGGGCAGTTCAGCAGAGATGGCTGAGTTGGGGTTGGATAAAAGCGGTGATCCTGGGTATCCAGTTTAAGGAAAAATGCAGTGGGTGATTTGGGCCAACCCTTTTGCTGAGAACAGCAGTATCCAATGTCACTCATGAATAGGAATGTGAAAATCCTGAAACTCTATTAGTACACTTAATCCAGCAATGTAGGACAAGACCAGTGTGTCACGACTCAGGTACATGTGTCTGTCTTTTATATACCACAATACAATCTTTTTTTTTTAAAGTATGAACTTGAATTAAAACCTGAATTAGAATCCTGACTCCAGAATTTACTTGTTATAGCTTCTTTATCATTGCTAACACAGGGATGGTAACATTACCTTGAAGTGGTCCTGAAATGAAGTAGTAGTCATAAAATACTTGTCGTGGTACCTTAATAGCCTGGTAAATATTATTCATCTCCTCTTCAGCAGTTTCATTGCTGAGAGAAATATAGTCAACTGAGGATCAAGTTATGCCACAACCGTTGTATTTTCTCTCAAATTCGCTTTGCCATCTCCTTTCCTACCTACAACTTGTCATTCACACCACCAGGGACAGCTTCTGTGACCCTGAAGCCAGGCCCTTGTCAGGAGTAAAGGTGAAGCGTCCCAGTCACTTCGACCATGAGGCCTTTTGTTTCACCAACTAGATGGTCCATCTCTATGGCTCCATCCCTCCTCCATCTCTGTTACCAAGAACAAGTTGCCTGTTTATCACATATCTGAAGTACTAATCTGTGCCCAAGGTTAAGTCATAAAACACAGCAATCAAAAAACACAAAAATCCCTGCAGCTGAAAATTTTGTGAGGAAAGACAAACAATAAGTAAGAATACTTATTTCTGTTTTTGGTCTCAAGAATTATTTCCACTTAATAAGCATTAGAGAAGAAAAGAGAAATCATAGCCACAGGTAAGTTTCTTATTATTATTTTTTTTTAATCTTCACTCATTTTCTCCCTGTGATCATTGTAGGAAATTTCAAAATATAAAAAAGCATGAAGAAAAAAATTAAAATCAAGCAAAATCTATCCCCACACCCAGAGATAACCACTTTTTGTTGTATATTCTTATTTTTATTTTCAGAAGTAAACATTTTAATGAAACAAATAATATATGTTCCATTTTCCTGATTATGGCCTAAATCTTGATAATTACTTAATTTGTTCAAATAACTGTGCTAGATCACACTTTATTCCAGGTTCGAGGGCCTTCACGAGCCGACCCTGACACCATAGTAGACGATCTGCTGACACCTTGTTCTCCCGGTGACCCTGGTGCCATTGAAATGACGTGGGTGGACGTCCCTGGGGATAAACTCTTGGAGCCAATTGTTTCCATGGTTTGATATTTTTGTTTCATTTTAAGAAAAAATGTAAAACATATACTTTGTAATTTAGGAAAGGTAAAATTTTCAGTTATGTAAGGTTAGCTAGGAAATGTTAGCCTGTTAGGCATGCTTCTTTAATACTGCCTACTCACTTAAAAAGGCGAAAAAGTAACTGAACTTAAAAATAAAAAAATTATCTTTAAAAATAATTTCCTGGTCTTTGAGGAAAATTTCATTTTAAGTGAATAAGCTATTTTTCAAAAATATGCGTTTCTAACCTTATAGATTTTATAGTTGGGATATTATTGCCAAAATGCTCATATAAGTTGCGTAAGTTATTGTTAAGACTTACTAAAAGGTGGGATTGGTGAAAAATTTTTTTCTCTGGATTTCATATTTGATAAAATATCCAGAAACTCTTATGCATGTATCACAGTATTCATAATGGTGTTTTTCTGTTTTACCTCTCAAGGCTTTACAGAAAGTTTAAATAATGCAGTGCTGAAAAAAATCGTGAAACGATTTTTATTATAAAAAAATTACATTTCTGTTACTTATATTGAGGGAGTTAAAATAATTCATAAGACTTTATTTTATAAGGCATATAATTTGTAGGGAACTTACTATAACTGAAAAGGTATATTCATTATGTTTATGTTTTCTTATTGACAAACACTCAGTTTTTTAAATCTTCTCCTTCAGTTACAGATTTTCCAAGAGCTTTATGTCAGAATGAACAGTAACTTCTGGGAAAGAAACATTTGCATGATATGTAGACATATACATAAAGATAGGTGTGACTAAATATATGTGTGGGTGTGTGGCTATATTTATGTGTTAATTAACCATAATGGTTATCTGAGAAGTTATTCAGAAACGCTTTTTTCTTTGTTTCCATCCTTTTTTTTATTTATTAGTCTTGGTTCTTTTGACCATTTCCATACTGTTTTACAGCAAACATAGCCATAGCCTAGAACTTTTTTAACCAATTCCAAATATTAGCCTACTTTCTTGCCATTTTTATTTTAATTTTAATGAATAGTTAAAAATTTTGATCAGTTGATTTGATCAGATAATGTTTCACATAAATATAAGTGAGTGACAATATTCTTATGAGTTGCATTTGAGAACCTGCTCTCCTGTTTAAGAAAACAATGGGTAAGGCCGGGAAAGAGATGGGGAGCGTGTGTAGGGGGTTCTGGATCCTCAGGCGGAGAGGACTGGCTGCTTCTGACGGCCGGCGAGTTGCTGTGGAGGCTGCGATCGGGACAGGGCAAGCGGTGGCAGGAGTGACGTGGTCAGAGCTGTCCTTGGGCAGAGTAAGGGCCTGTTGCCGCTAACTTGGGGTATCGTGCAGATATGCAGCTTCAACCTCACTTGAAAGTCAGTAATAGCGGTAATGCAGTGACGAAATCTATGACTGATACTCCCCGTCTTTTTCCTGACAGCCGGATATGCTACGGTCACTGTCCAGCACAAAACCCACAGTCAATGAACACGACTTGTTGAAATTAAAGAAGTTTTCAGAAGATTTTGGCCAAGAAGGCTAAACCAAAGACAACGAGGAAGACGTTTACTGTGTGTGTTCTTTCTTTCGTAGGTGTTTTTGCCCCTCTTGGATGGCATTCAGATTATTTCAGTAGAACACTTTACCACAAGGAAATGTAGCTCTCACTTCTGTGTTCCTCTAACTTTTATGTGTATTTTTGCTGTATTATCCATTAAATGCTCTTTTTTAACAAAAATTGTGAAGTAATAAACTCTGAGGAAAAAATGAGTGATACATGAATGGCAGAAATAGAAATTACCCAGTAAAAAGAGGATTCAAATTGATTGAGACACAAATAGTTAACATTGTTATGAATAGTGGTCTTTGTAAAGAACATTTTTTTTTTTTACTAAAATGAAATAGGGCTTGTTTCATATTTTTAAAAAATTCTTAAGCATCATTTTCATCAATGTAAATTTATTTTTAATTAAAAGTTAAAAATTATGACATGTTTACTCTCAGGGATGGGGTAGTAAAACAGCAAAGAGCACTGTGGGCATGAAAGACTTTGAGTTACGTTCTAGCTGAGGCTCTTGTTGCTTTTTTCGGTAGGTTGTAGATTTAAATAAATTCCTTAAAAGCTGCAAGCTTTTATATTTAACTAAATAATACCTTTCACTGTGCAATCTCAAGGGAAAGCCTTTCTAAATTAAGCGTTGTCTTTATCTTGAAGGAAAAAAAATGTCTGTTTCAAATGTGTCCTTTTGTAGCAAGATCAGCCTAACCCAGTAGTAAATAATTACGTCCTTTTAAAATAACCCTACCATAAGATACTGTAATAGGAACCTTTCCTAAAAGGAATGGCCTTCCTTTGTATTATGGGAAGTGTCTTGTGTGTGATGTGGGTGTACATACATACATATATATATGTGTGTATATATATATGTATGTATGTATGTATAATTTTTTTAAAATAGGGTAGCAAAGCTCTTTTTACCTTTTAAGTTCAGGGAACCATGTGTCCTGGCCACACATATATGTGATCAGTGTGATGCTTCGTGAAGCTTTAGAAATGAGCTGATGTCTCAGTGATAAAATAAAAATATGACACTATGTTATTTTAATGTTTTCAAATAAGAATTCCGAGGGTATGTTACCCACTTCAGCACCAACACTAAGTTGTGCCTTGTATATTTGAGTTGGCTATACATGCAAAGGAATATGAAGTTAGCTAGAATGAGGTAGATCTCTACCTTGAAAATACTATGGATTGACTTGTGTTTTAAAATACATTTGCACATTCTATGTGGTTGCCTTAGGGTCTTCTGTACAGATTGTTTTTTGTTATTAAATGAAATCATAGGTCTAAAACATGTTGTTCTTAGTGAAGTAAATTACTATTACTAGTATTACCTATGTTCTGTGTATGCTTCTTTATTTTGGGTCTTCTGTATGGAAGAAAATGTCCACAATGATTAGGCACAAAAAATACTTTTAAATTATTAAGAATGTATGTATGAAAATCCTATTTTCAACAACTTTTATGTGAGGGTTGGGAATTAACTTGGCAGACCAATGCAGAATTCTGTATAGATGTCTTAGATAATATATATACTTTATTAGGCTCAGAATTATGTAATATTGCTATTGTATCATTAAGAGATTTAGCATAATTATATTACTCAAATAATATAATAGTTGAAGCCCAGAGGTTTTTGTGAATCCAGAATTTGTTTTGAGGAAGTATTTTACTTAAATTGATCAAATACATGAGCAAATAGTATATAAGTATAGTGTTAATGCTAAGTGGATAATTTATCACACCTAATTCTTACATGTGAACTTTGAAAACTATGTCTCAGTATTCATATCACTTCTAGGCATATCTCTGTTTTCTACATTTCTAGTTCTAAAACTGTTTCTGGAATCTAATAATTTTAGACTTATTCTAGAATGGTAGAACATAAGGCATTTCTGTGTGTTCTTTTTGGACAGATAAGCACAGGAAACTGAATGTTGCAGGCTCTGATTGTCTTGACCTTGACCATTATGAGATTTTGGATAGTTGTTTTCTGAGCCAACAAATATATCCTACTTGAGGAGCGTCTTTATGAGCTGTACCCTGGATGGTGAAGAACATTTTTTGTCTCAGCCTAAAAACTCTATAGCGACCTTAATTAATGAAATATTTCAATAGAAAATAGACATTTGAGTTCATTGTCCCCTACATGCAGAGAAAGAGAATGAGTATATTTGATATATTAAAATATTATTAACATGAAGTACTGTTTTTCCCCCTCATCTGAGCTCTCACTGATTTTAGATAGACAGGAAGTGGGGGAGAGAGACAGACATTCATGAGTCACTCTCAGATGGGCCCTAAATGGGATATGTGTTGGGTGATACGTAGTGTTACAAGTTAGGTTCTCCAGGAGCTAACAAGAGGCAGAATTTGGCAGCCAAGATGTTTATTACATACCAACACCTGTGAGGAGAAGGGGGCAGAAGCAGAACTGAGCAGAAGAGGAAGTTAAAATTAATGTAGAGAGTTCGTATGTAATCTTCAGAAGCTTCCCCTAAGGTTAACATCTCATATAACCGTGGTACAGTCAAAGCAAGAAATTAATGTTGCCATAATACCATTAACCAAATGACAACATGATGTTGATTTCATCAGTTTTTCCACTAACATCCTTTTTCTGTTCCAGGATCCACTCCAGGACTGCATTTATTGTCATCTCCTAGTCTCCTTTAGTCAGTGATGTTCTGTCAGCCTTCCCTTGTTTTTTCATGAATTTGAGACACTTTTGAATAGTTTTGGCCAGGTGTTGTGAAGACTGTCCCTGAATTTATGTTAATCTGATGTCCTCTCTTAATTAGACTAAGGTTAAAGATTTGGGGGAAGAATACCACATAAATGGTCATTTTCATTTCTTGTCATTATGATCTACTTCACTCTTTGACCTTCCCTGTCATGACTGAAGGTTAGTGTTTGCTGATACTTCACATTATAAACCCTAGCTTATTTTCAAACAGCATATCCTATTCCTGATCCAGTACGTTTCTCTTGTAAAAAGTGTATGTTCATTAGAAATTAGAAATGAATAGATTGTTTTAAAGTAATGGCATTATAAGTGATTTTAAAATTGTTTTCATATAATGTTGTGTGGTATATTTCTATGTAATGCATTCTTAAAATTTATTTTTCTAATATAAAAAAATCAAGTCAAGGGGACACGATCTCAAGACTTTATTCTTAGCGATGTTAATTAACTTCGGTCTTGTGATGAAGATGATGTCTGGTGGGTTTTCCCACGGCTAAGTTACTGGTTTATGCCGTGGCTGGTGTGGCTCAGTGGGTTCAGTGCCAGCTCGCTCATCAAAAGGTCACTATTTCAGTTCCCAGTCGGGGCACTTGCTTGTGTTGCAGGCCAGGTCCCCAGGTCGGGGCATGTGAGAGGCAGCTGATTGATGTATCTCTTGCACATCAATGTTTCTCTCCCTCCCCCTCTCTCTAAAAACAAATAAAATCTTTAAAAACTTTTTTTTTTTAATAGGCTTAGTGAAGTAGTAAAATGTGTGGGTTCCATTTGTTAAGTTAACGTTTATAACTTAAATTTGAAATTATTTAACAGCATGATGTCAGATAGGACAGCCATAATAAAATGCCATGGACTGGGTGGTTTAAACAACAGGAAATTTATTTCTCACAGTTCTAGGAAAGTCCAAGATCCAGGTGCCAGCAGCTTTGGTTTCTGGTGAGAGCTGTTTCCGGCTTTCAGAAGTTGCTTCCTTGCTTCGTCTTCACATCTGCCAGTATTTTGATTTTGGGCTTCCCACCCTCCAGAACTATGAGGAACAAATTTCTATTGTTTATAAGTCACCTGGTCTATGGTATTGTGTGATAGCAGCCCAAATGGACTAAGACAGTAAATAGCCTTAATACTTGTGGGAAAAATATTTCCTTAATTATTACATGTTCAGTGGGTAAAATGCAGATTGGCTGGTTATAAAACCTTGGCTCAACATTCTTTCCTTGAGAATCTTAGAGATCTATTGATGTTCTCATGTTGAATGTTACTATGGAGAAATCTGAAACTAGCCTGATTTCTTCTTTAAATAAGTGACCTGATTTTTTTTTTTTTCTTGACTGACCAAAGTCTTCATTCTTTTAAAACTCAGTGGGTTTTCTAAAGGTTTCATAGTTTTGCATTTAAGCCCATGATCCCTTCTGTATTAGTCAGGGTTCTCCAGGGAGACAGAACCAATAGCAGGTAACCTCGTGTTTGTTGATGTTAGAGAAGCACTGTACTGGGGAAGGACACTGATGGGCCCAGAACAGTTTCATACTGAAACGGAAGTGTTTTACAGGAACATGCTACCAGGAAATGCAAAGAGATGAACTGCGTTCACAGCAGGGTGACTCGGGGGCTGACTTTGGAGCCCCCTAAGGAACTGCTGGACCTAGAGTCACTTGGGCTGTGTGGGCAGTGTCCTACGCACAGGTCTCTGTTGACCAAAAGAGCTGCTTGGTTTACGGCTGTCGGTGTCAAGGTGAATGGACGGCATCCTGTTGGGAAGGCTGCCACCCTGGCTGAAGGAGAGAAAAACAAGTCAGCCTGGTTGGCTGAATTACGTACCGTCAATCCCTGTTTGGGTGTTGGACCGACTGGGCACCAGCTACTGGCCTGGCCGCGTGGTTAAGTAGAAGGGTGATGGGAAACTGGCTGTTAAAGGGGTGCCTGTAGGGGGCAAGGCTGTATGAAAATCAGGGAAACTCAAGGTGTACATTGAAGTAGGCCGTGTCCCTGGTCATCAGAAGAACCTCCTGAGATGGGAAGGCCGTTGGAAGCAGCCAGTGGATATCCGGGAGTGCTCACTTGAGGTGGCCACCTGGATCCGTGAAGTGAGGAGATGTGGGAGCCTCAGCCACACAGAGATGGGGTGAATCTAGACAAAGTCCTCTTGTCCCGCCTGGGGCACAAAATGCCAACCAGAATGACAGGAGTTGCTGATGGCTATGGGGCAGTTTCCCCTGAGGGAAAGTCTGCACAGCTGGCTCTGGAGAGACGCTAGTAGCCCTGGAAGGTTACAAATAGATCTTGATGGGATAAACAGACTGGACTGGGCTTTGCATACTCAGAATCAAATGCAATGCTCAAAATACTGGGTTGGCCACAAAGTCTGTTTTAAGTTTTTTCTGTAAAATGTAACACACTTTTCATTTTTACAAATTACCTTATTGACTTGGATATGTTGAGTATGTTGGCTGTCTTCTGTGTGGTAGAACAATTGTTCTCAATTCATGTCTCAGTCACTGTCAACTTCAGCTGGTCTACTCGACTGTGGAGCATCGTCGTCCAGCAAGAAAGCTCCAGCACGATACTTCGCAAACCACTTTTGATGCATTTGATCAGTCACAGCACCTTCTCCACACACTGCACAAATCTCTTTTCTTTGCATTTCAGCTGTGTTTTTACCTTTCTTGAAATAATAAAGCATGCTGAAAATGTTGCGTAGTTTCTTTCATCTTCAATATTAAAATGGCTACACAAAAATTCACCAATTTTAGTTTTTTTTAAATGCACGCTGATATGACAGCTGTCCAATACAATCTTAACTATCTTGAAGTTAAAGACAACAAAGTGCTACTAGAGCCATCGTATGGAGAAAAAGCAAATGAACTTTTTAGCCAACCTAATATCACGTAAGGACTGACTCAGAAGACACTGCACCAATTCGGACCTCGGGACTGTGTTTCCTCAGACCTAGAAGCATATTTTGCAGTCCCTAGTTTCTGACAATGGTCGGAAATCACATCAAATGGACATAGCATGTTGCAAGTCACCCTCAGAGTAAAGGTCTCATGGAGAACTGAAGCAGGCGGTTGGAATGGGAGAGGGGAAGATGAAGACTGGAAGGGCTAATGTGCACGTCTTGCTGAATACGCTCACACTCAGCAGGATGGGGAGCGAGAGAGGGTTCCCGCTAGATGCAGTCCTCTCCCTTTCAGGGGGATTTGGAGGAGAGGGCGTGGGGAAGGGTGCCGGTATGACTATGCAGTTCTTGCAGCTATACTTCTCCCTTTTTTCTCTATTTCACCTTAACTATTTCTGGCTGATAGAGTGATACGGTGGAAACTGCCATTAGTGAGATTGCAGTGTGGATACTGATGGTCCAATCTATAGGGAAATTGAGTGGAGAACCTCCTTCTCCACTCTGCCGCCTCCAAAAATTAAGCATCTGTTTGTTCATCTGTAGGAGAGCTTGGAACAAAGACCAGGCGGTGGCCTGTGTAGTCAAGACTCTCGCCTTGTCCAAAGAGAAAGGTCTGGCCTTTCTCTTTGGCTTCTGGGAAGTATGTGTCATCCCTGATAGGAATGTCTTTGTTTAGATGAGGATTGGCCAAACTAGATTTTAAGGTGGGGCTGGCCGTGGCAGAAAGACCAACTCTGGTGGACGTAGAAGCTTTGCATCATGTGTTATCAGTTGCCCTGGAAAGTGAGTTCAGCCTGTGGGCAATCAGTCAATCACACCTACATATAATAAAGCCCCAGTAAAAATCTCTGGACACCAGATGGACTTCCCTGGTTGGCAGTGCTCCATGCATATTGTCACTCAGCAGTACTGGGTGGTCACAATGTCCTCACGCCATTGGAGATGCAGAAGTGTTGCTTTTGGAGTCCTCCAGACTTTGCCCCATTCACTTTTTTCCTGAGCCGACTTTGCTGTAAAGCACAACCGGGAGTATAACAGTTCTCAGTCCTTCTAGAGACCAAAGCAGAAGGTGGTTTGGGAAACCCTCACATTTCCAATTGGTGTCAGAAGTCTTGGGGCCTGTGTTCTCACACCCTGCAATTTGGCTAACTCTGGGCAATAAATTGATAAAGAAGAAAAGCTCAGAACCTTTGCTCCTTAGCACCTTATCATTTCTAAAAACAACAAAAACAAAAAGCAGGCAAGAAAACACAAGTATGCCTTACGCAAGTCAAAATCACAATGAAATGTCTCTTCATGCCCCCAGGAAGGCTATAATTTAAAAACGTGGTCAAGTGTTGCAGAGGTTATAGAGAAATTGGAATCTTTGTACATTGTTGGCAGGAATGTAAAATGGCACAGCTGCTTTGGAAAACAGTCTGGCAGTTCTGGTGAAACAGAGTTACTATAAGATTGTCGACATCAGAATGGCCAAACCTGTAGACAATGTTTATAAAATATTTATTTGAGGATAAGCCTGGAAGCAAGATCTTGACACACTGAGATTCCAAGAAATGACCGTTTGCAGCCTCTTCTGTGCAGTTAGAATTAAAGAGGGAAGTAAGGAGGATCACCTGAAGGTGGGAGAAAGCAAGGGGGGGATTGGATATGGGGTAGTTAATAAGATTTTGTGTTCCCTTGAGGTCATGCTTTAGAAGGAGGGGGTCTAAAAAGATCATTTCAAAGGTCTGCAAACCTAGATGCACAGAAATAAGAAAGAATTTGCTGAAGGCAAAGGTGAGCCTTTTACTAGAGAAGTTCCCGAGGGTGATTACTGCCCAGTTAGGGATTTATGACCACGTCACCCAGTGAGGTTACTCTCCACAGAACCCCTTTTCTGGCCACAAGATGTAGCAATTCCACTCCAAGGTCTAAACCCAAGATAAACACATATGTCCCCACAAAAACTTGTATGTGAACGTTCACAGAGGCATTATTTATAAGAGCCCCAAGGTGGAAACAACCCAAGCGTCCATCCGATGGTGACTGGATAAATGAAGTGTGGTGTATCCACACGATGGAATATAATTTGGTGATTAAAGCAATAAACTGCAGTCCTGGCCGGGTAGCTCTGTTGGCCACTGTCTTCCCAACACACCAAGGCTGAGGCCTGGTCAGGGCACATGCGAGAATCCAGCAATGAAAACTTAAGTAAGTGGAACAACAAATCGATGTCTCTCTCTACCCCCTTCCTTTCTCTAAAATTAATAAATAAAAAATTTTTTTTAATCAATAACGTACTGGTACATTGTACGACATGGATGAACCCTGAGGACACTATGCTAAGTGAATGAAAGAAGCTGCATAATCTATGATTGCACTTGTGGGACATACCCAGACTAAGCCAGTCTAGAGGCAGAAGGAGGGGGATTGCCTTAGGGCTGGGAGGAAAGGGGTAGTGGCCGCTAATGGGCACAGGATATTTTGGGTGGAGGGGGGTGTAATGAAATGCTCTAAAATTGTCCTGGGGGTTGTTCAACTCTTGAGTGTACTAAAATCCATGTATTGAATCAGGATGTCAATTAGATCTCAAGCTTTTTCTCTTTTTAATTTAAATCCTAGCTTTGTTTTTAAAAAATTCTACTCAACGAAATCGAATTATCTGAGTGATTTTGGAAGACAGGCCCTGTTCAGGTTTTCCCGTTGCTGTGAGAAACGATAGTGATCTTTGACCTTTTACGCCCAGAAATTACGAAATGGAGGCCGGGATTTCATTTTGATTCCAGGGCTTCCAGGCCTGGGCAGAGTCCGGTGACCCCACAGCCCCGGACCAGATCGCCGCGAACTGCCTCCCGCCTGGCGGGCCACCGGTTCGGCGACACTCGGGGACGTGGCGGAACCGCACGACTAGAACGGGCCCGACGCCCCGACGCGCGGTCGGGAGGGTCCGGAAACCAGCTCTCCGCGGTCCTAAGACGCACCCGCGACACCAGCCCGCGGTGTTACCGCGTCCACGCAAAGGCGCTCTGCGTGGCGCCGCGGGGGGCCGAAGGGGCGGACTAGGGCCCCGCGCGGAGGCTGCAGGACCCAGCCGATCGCAGGGGGCGCTGGGCCCGGCCCCGCATCCCCGCAGGTGGCACCGCCCCGCCGCGGTCGCGCCCTCTACCGGCTCCGCCTCTTCCCCTCGGCCGCCGCCCCGCCCGGAACCCAAACACCGGCTCCTGCTGCGCGGTCGCGCGTGATCGCTTGTGCCACTGGCTCCCTGTCCCGGCCCGGCCCGACCCGCCGAGCGATGCTGCTCCTCGTGGCCACCTGCGTCGTGGCGTTCGTGCTGCTGCTGTACATGCTGTCTCCTCTCATCAGCCCCAAGCCCTTGGTGCTGCCCGGGGCGCATGTGGTGGTGAGTGGCCCCCAGTGCGCGCGCCCAAATCCCGGCCCGCTCGGCCGCCGGGCCTCCACCGCCCCTTCTCCAAACGGAGGGTCACCTGCCGCCGCGCCCCCCGGCACTGTCCCCGCGCAGGGCCTCGGGGACCCGTCCTGTCCTCCGCGGCAGCTGGCTCCTTCCGGAGGGCGCTCCGGGGGCTCGGGAGCCGCTCGCTAATCCCAGGCGCATCCCTGGGAGGTGGCTCTTTTTGTTCTCGGTTCTCCCGACGAGTCACCTGAGGAGCAGAGAGGCTGGGAAACTTTGTCAAGGACACTGCGGTCGGTGACGGCGCGGGTTGGCGAGGCGGGCGACGGAGAGCCCCAGCTGCCGGGACCGGCCGAGGCGGCCCCCAGCTGGGAGATGGCTTGTGCGAGTGGCAGACAGTTGTTGCCGAAGGCGTCTAGGGAGTGACTCACCAGGGAAAATTGGTCCGAGCCCAGTGGGCCGGGAGCCCTGGCTGGATGGAGGCGCTGGGACGCTTCTGCCCCGTCTGCACTGCTCGTCTCTGCGAGCTCAGTCTGGGGTCCCTGGGCGCTCCTGTGTCATCATTCCAGAGTCAGAGGGATGAGCTAAGCCACCTGGCAGGTGCTTTAGGAATGAAGAGGATGTGCGTCGGTTTGCTTTGTTCCTTCCTGGAGGATCCTGTCGTCAAAGGCCACCTTTCGGCAGGTGTAGCACCTGTCTCCAACTGAGCGAGAGCGCCTCCCTACCTGTGCCCAGCACCTCGCTGTTGGCGGTGGCTTTGTGTGCCGCCACCCCAAGGCACACCGAGGCGGGAGGTTCTGAGTAAGGGCAGTTCGTGACTGAGCTGGCAGCACAAATCCTCCTGGTACCCGAGGTGACATACTTGAGTCTCCCCCCTGGGCTGTGATGGGACGAGACGGTCATTCCTTTTAGCATGCTTGAAATCTGGGGGCAGTGTGGGGGCGGGGCGGGGGGGTGGGGAGAAGCAAAACTTTACTGTCCTGCTAAATCCTGAAGGTGTCACGGCCACGCACAGGACAACCTTTGCCACAAAAGCATGGCTTTAAAAGTTGTCTTCTTTCACATTTTATGTTTGCAGAGCGTAACTTGGTAAAAGGTAAGCCAACAGCAGTGATGAAAATTTTGAGCCTCTTGTTTAGGAGGGAGTTGTCACCAAACCTTGACCCTGGTCTTTGCAGCCCCATGAGGCTGCAGGCCGCCAGTGGGGAAGACGACAAACACGCTGGCGATAGACCAGGGAGAGTTTCTTATTTTCATCGACTCCTTTTCATATGCGTTTATAAATAACGCAAGGATGATGTGACTGATTCACAGGGTGCCACTCTCTGCCCTCTTTTTTAAGGTCATAAGGGGAGCGAAAATGTAATTATTTTCCTTGAGATTTGTCAGGACTAGACCGGGTGGTGGTAGGAGAGGGAGCTGACGTTTCGAATGTCTGCCCGCGTGGAGGCCTGCACAGACTGGGTCGTGACTATGGAGTGTTTGTTTTTGCTATCTCCCTAACTACTGCGTAGAAGTCTAACAGGGTATGTAATTATTTAAATCAGCTGGTTTTTTAAAAAGCTGTGTAATTGACTTGAGTACTGGAAAGTCAAGTTCTCCTCTTTTGGAGATGGCTGGAAGCCCTTCCCCCTCGTGCCCTCAATGGCGGTGGAGTGTGTGGTGAAGGACTTAGTCCCGCTTCAGCTGCATTTCCAGTGACGGGTAAGAGGGGATGAGAGAGGAAGGAAATTAAACTGTTATCTTGCATGTCCCGCATCTGGACTCAGTTTACCCGTTGTCAGGCAACTCCATACACATTTACCATTTTTCTAAGCCATTATGAAAATCTCTTACATTTGCTTGTAACTTTCAGAGTAACACAGGCCAGAAATGGCCAATCCTCAGGTGCCTGCTTAAGGAGGAGGTGACTTGACTGGGAGGTTAGTTTCCCATGAACCATGACCCAAAAGTTGAAGTCTAACTCTTGTTCTTATGGAAAAAGCTTAGCAGGGATCAGGTTGAACAGTTCTTTGATGTGCAGCAAGCTCACACAGCTCCTCTAGAGTGCAATAGTCTAGAAAGAGACAACAGTGATAACAGGACCTCATACCTACATAGCACTTTACAGCTTAGGCATTTTCTCAATAACCTCATAGCTTCAACTGCCATTAATTCACTGAATAGCAAATAGGGGAATTGTACTCACAGGTGCGGTTGCTGTTGTATCTTTCAGAGAAATGGCACTGTTCACCGTTCTGCAAACTAATGCAGCTGTTTACATGAGGCCCTGGTCTGGGAATGAGCGATGAATTGGACTGGGTGCTCATTCTCAAGGGATTTACGGTCTGGCATCAGACATGTGCATAAGGAGCTGTGCACAAGGTACAAAGTGACAGGTAAAGGACAGGGCTGAGTGGCAGTCGGGAAGAGCTGCTTGGAAGAGAGGACTCTGAAGCTGGCCCTGTGGGAGAGGCAGGATTTGGAAACAGAAGTAGGTGGAGAGACACTTAGGCAGCAGTTACATCATCCAACAGCCAGGACATTTTTAGGGGTCTTGTTAATTGCCATGGACTTGGGATGTCTGGTGGCAATTCATGAACCAGAACCACCCATGAAACAGCTTCCTAGCTGAGACCTCCTCAGAGGTGATCAGCTGCCTGGCAACAGGTCTGTTCTTACGGTAACCTTCTGTCGGTGATGGTCAATGATCCGCCAAAGAAAGCTCGTCAGTGGTGCAAAGATGAGGCTGGAGAGAAGGGGATGCTTAGGAGCTGTGTGCAGACCAGGGCATTGTGCACAAGGGGCTTCGTGAGGATTTACAGTCGTGGGATGGGGTCGGAGATGTTCACTGCAGCACAATATCTAACAGTAAAATATTAAAAATAATCCAAATGTCCCACTCTCGGGAAATGGTTGTTTTGATAGAGCTGTGAATGCAGTACTGTGAAGCCTTTTAGTTTTTTGACGTAAGACATTACAAGATAATTACTTTTTTAAGTAAGATATGGTACCCTATGAGGACAGATGTGTCCTGATCCTCCCCCCTCCCCTCCCCTCCCCTCGCCTCCCCTTCCCCTCACCTCCCCTTCCCTTCCCTTGTCAGCCCCCAGCCCCCCAATCCCTGGGCCCATGTTATACCATCTGCATAGGGAAAATGACTAGAAAGAAAACATTGCATTTGTCTTATTAGGTTAAATATACATTGAGTGCATCCTCTACGCTAGGCACTGTGCTAAGAGTTAGGAATATAGTGGGAGCAAAAATAGAGGTAGTATTTTTAATGGAGTTTATGGAGCGGTGATAGAGATGGTTGTGAATTAAATGAATCACGCAAATCAATCCGTGGCCGTTCGTTTCGGGCCTGCCCAGCATCAGGGAGGCCTTCCTGCGGGAGCCGCGTCTTGGCTGCGTTGTGATGGGTGAGCACGTGCAGCTCCGCGAAACGAGGGCAGGAGAGCCTTCCTGGCCGGGACCGTGGGACGAGCAGAGGCCCGCCGTGCGGTGGGCGGGAGCGTGGAACTGCAAGACGGCCAGGAGGCTGAGCTGTAGAGGGGCGGCCGAGAGAGGAGGAGAAGCTGTGCTTTTCAGGGTTGCAGTGGGATCGTATATTACGTTATAATAAGCAGTCACTGAGATGATTATAAGTCATAAGCATGTGACCGTTCTTTTCATCTCTTGTAGAGCAGGTCATGCATAGGATGTACGCAATAAGGACGTAAGATTCTGTGGGAGGCTGGGTGGTTTGTTTAGTTGGAGCATAATCCTGTGCACCGTAAGGTCACGGGTTCAATTCCCTGCTAGGGCACATACCTAGGTTGCTGGTTCGTCTCTGGTCAGGGTGTATAGGTACAGGAGGCAACTGACTTGATGTTCTGTCTCACATGTTGATCTTTCTCTCTCTCCGTCTCTCTCTCTCTCTCTCTCTCTCTCTCTCCCTCTTTCCCTCTCTCTTTGAAATCAATGGATGTTATCCTCAGGCAAGGATTTAAAAAAATAAGTAAATAAAACAAGGAGAGTTTATATACATTGAAACAAAGAAGCCCATGCAATATTATTAAAGAGGAACACAGTGTAAAAAAAAAAAGGTTCCATTGGAATGGACTTGAAGCCAGACTAACGTATTATCATTTTTTTTTTTTTGGAGTTTTCTTTTTCAATTTCAATTGACATTCAGTATTATTTTATTTTAGTTCCAGGTGTATAATGTAGTGGTTAGACGTTTCTATAATTTACGAAGTGATCCCCCAATAATTCCAGTGCCTGCCTGGCACCGTGCACAGTTACTACAATAGTATCGACTGTATTGTCTACGCTGTGCACCACATCCCTGTGACTGTTTTGTAACTGCCCATCTGTACTCAATCTCGTCACCTTTTCACCCATCCGCCCAACCCCCCTCCCAGCTGACAAGCATCAGCTTGTTTTCTCTCTGTCTGTTTCTGTTTTGTTTATATTGTTCATATAGATAGTGCTTTAGATTCCACATATGCGTGAAATCTTCGGTACTTGTCTTTCTCGGGCTGGCTTGTTTCTCTGAGCACAATGTTCTCCAGGTCCATCCACCTTATTGGAAATGGGAAGATTTCCTTCTTTTTTATGGCTGAGTGATGTTCCATTGTACCACATCTTTACCCATTTGTCTAGTGATGGGCACTTAGGACTAATGTGTTATTTATTAGCTAGATTTATAGGCACTTCCCCTCCAGGGAACTTTGGACAATATTGTAGGTGTGCCCTGGACAGCTCGGTGCCGAGGACAGTGACCGACAGCAGCGGGCCCTGCTGGTGGTTCGGTCTCCCAGGTTTGCACTCATCCCGCTCATCAAGTGTGGGATGGAGAAGCGACAGGAGCTACAGACCTAGTCCTTAGATTGGTTTCTAGAGCCCGTGATTGTTACATTCTGTCAGCTTCCCTCAGAAGTGTAAAGCCATGTGCTGAGGAGCCTTTTTGTCTTTTTGCTTCTAGGTCACGGGCGGCTCCAGCGGCATTGGAAAGTGCATTGCTATCGAGTGCTACAAACAGGGAGCATTCATAACTCTGGTTGCACGGAATGAGGTGAGTCCTCCAGGTGCGGCAGTCCTGGCTTGCTCAGCTGCCGCTGGTCCGAGAGGCTGCGCAGAGGGCCCGGTGTGACACTCACGCTGGAAATCTCTGGGTCGAGGTGCCACTCCGAACCACTGGTTATTTCTGTGGTTTAGGACAATTCCTGGGCCAAAGGCAGACCAGCTCCACGAATATTTATCTAGAGCCAGCAGCTGTTAGGGAGCACCGTAGATGCTGCTGACCTTGAAATGGGAGAGGCCAAGAGGAAGCTGGGCAGGCGGCCCACCTGGCTGGAGGTAGGAGGCTCTGGAGGGCCCTCCGCCCACCAGAGGCGCCAGTGGAGGCTGGAGGCCGTGGTGAAGCTCATGCTGAGTCCTGACGGCCGGGGAGACGTTTCTCCTTTGCCTGGAACTTGATGGTCTCTGGTGAAACACAGCCGCAGAGCAGTCTCGCCCCTCCCAGCGGTGCGGCAGAACGCGGGCTTTTCTGTGCTTAGTTTACTCGGGGTCTGTTATTCTTTGTGATCTTGGTCTGCTGTCCTTCCCAAAGTTGCTTCCATGGCCCTGTGTTCACAGTTGTGGGGATTCCGGCGGAGCCCTCTTGCTCCATGGGACAGGGGCAGTGGCCGGGGTGCTACTGTCCCCTGCCATTGCTCTGAGCCTGGCGGAGCTGGCTCGCAGCGGGCGCTCAGACCTCTCTGTTGAATGAGGGGTGATGGAGGGAATGGGAACGGCAGTGTGGCCTCCATGCTGGGGACTCGGGTGTCCCCCACGCAGAAGGAGGGCAGGGGTGCAGTGACTGCCCAGGTAGGGGCGTTCCAGGCAAGCAAGGCGCCACGACAGTGGCTGGCCGTGGGGGGCCCTGGGCGAAACATTCAAAGGAGGCTGTTGAATTAAGTGTGGGCATCCATTCTTTTTTTTTTTTTTAATCAAGAAAGGCAGAAGTAGCTACCTTTTATTTATATGCTGACTTCTCTCACAGTGAATGTGCTTTGTGCTGACACCACCTTGCGGGAATGGAAACACCACTCTAATAGGGGGGCATTTTGTGAATCTGAACAATGCCCATATTTGACGCGAGGCAGATGGAAATGGGGGTGGGGAGGCCCGTGTTTTGGGTGCTCAGAAGCCCGTTGTGTGGTCCCTGGCATGGCTGGAGGCGAATGGCCCCATGCCTTCTGGCCTCGGGACATCCTTTACTTTCTCAGGTGGTTTTTAAATTCTGATTTTGGTCAAGCCAAGTCGTGTCTCTCTCTATTAATAGAACAATGTTGTTTTTACTATAGACGCATCCATGTTTAGAAAGCCCATGTGACTTTCTGAAGGGTTGCCTTCTTCCTGTGCTTTTCTGCCGTCATGATGGGTTTAAATCACATCTTTTATAGAGCACACTAAGACACTGTAGATCGATACGTGTCTCCTTGAAAATGAGTGAAACAAGCAAAGTTGAGGCCTTGGAAGAGTGACTGTTAACCTGGATAGCTTTGCCTGTCTGAAGAGTATCTCTGAGAATAGCCAGGAACAGATTTACCCGATACATCTAAAAAGTGATCTGCTTTTGGAGCAGAGGAGGAAGATAATTGGGTGATCTCTTGACACGGAATCACGTACTCTTAATTATATCTCCATATGGTTGTTCTTGTTTTATATCAACTAAAAAGTGTCAGATCAAAGCGCTGACTGCAACTGATAGGGTGACCCTCAGCAATTAATGCTGTTAATTGGGATTTTGAAGTTCATTTATTTTTCTGTTCTCCTCCTATGCAGTGATTTTAAAACCTTGGTACCACTAAGCCCGAACTTAGCATATGCTGTCCTTCTTTCTTTTGGAGGCTGGCCCATTGCTCTGCAACATAGGTGCTGCCTTATGTGTTTCCTAGACTTTAACACAGACATGAATAATGATCTTTTCTCTCCTTTTCAAACAAACAAGTGGATCATAGACAGTCGCCAGAACTAATTGTTTTCTTTTGCTTTCAGGACAGGCTGCTGCAGGCAAAGAAAGAAATTGAAAAGTACTCTATTAATGATAAACAGGTAAAATCACCGTCCACCTGATGCCTTTTCTGTACGAATCAGCGCAGTTGTGTTAAGGAAAAAAAGGGTTTATTGAAAGATATAAGATTTTCCTAATTATAAAATACATATTAGGCTGTGTTTGAAAAGGTGAAATAGTTTGGATTGTCTAGAACTTCAGATTATGACAAAAAACATAGACTCTAACACACACAGATGATCAGATAACAAAATGCCTTATTAGAAAATGATTTTATTTCAATTATTTATTTAAATCAACTTTATAGCAACACTGAAGGAAAAAGGGGCATTTAAAATGCTTCTGGGTTATGGAATTGTTTGATAGATACAATGTTTTATATATATGTATTAGTATAAAACATAATAACAAATTAATACGCATACATTCGTCACCCAGCTTAGACATGGGATCCACCAGGGCCCGGAAGCCACTCTGAGAGCCCACGGCAGCTTACCCTGTGTGCCATTCCTCGGGGGGCCCCCCCAGCCTGATTTTTGTGTTGATCCTCATTTTGCTTTTCTCTATAATTTGACCATAAGTATTTGACCTTTAATAGTGTGCTGCTTTTTGAACTGAGTGGCATTTTTTTTTGACAGCTTTATCAACATGTTCTTCACCTAGCACACCATGTGCTGATTTAAGGTGTACTGTTCGGTGGTTTATAGTGTATCTACAGAGTTGCACAATCATCCCAGAGTCAACTTAACAATGTTTTCATCATCCCATAAAGAAAGTCCATGCCCGTGGATAGTCACTCCCCATTCCTCCCAGCCCGTCCCAGCCCTAGGCGATCCCGTCTCCTTTCTTTCTCTGTAGATTTGTATGACATCATTCTTTGAATCTCTTGCAACCTAATTTCTCCACCCGATACTGTTTTAAAAATTCCTCTGTGTTGCATAAAGCTCACTCTTTTTCCTGCTACATAGTATCCTCTCGTATGTATAGACCACCTTTTGTTCATCAGTTCTACTGTTGGTGTCTAGGTAGATTGTTTCCAGTTTCCTTGTTAGCTTCCTTTCTTGTTATTACCGAAGTTTGGCTCTCTGGGCACATGGGCAAGAATTATACCTGGAAATGGGATTGTTGGACTGAGCAAATGCCTGTCTTCAACCTCAGCAAAGTGGCACCACCCCCACCAGTGTGGTTGCTGGTTTCCACAGCCCCACGCCCTCGCCAACGCTTGGTATTGTCTGGCTTTCTAATGTTTCCCTTTTTGATGGGTTGTAAATAATATCTCATTGCAGTTTTTTCATTGTCTCCTTTTCCCACCAGAGCATATTAGAGATTTCTCACATCAATAGAAATTAATCTGCCTCACCTTTTTATTTTCCTGTGGCTTAGTACTGGGTACCCCAGAGCGTATGTCATCAGCCCCTTGTTGCTGGGCATTTGGCATTTTTGTTTTTGTGCCATTGCATTCTTTGCTGCAGGTAGAAGTCCCCACCTCCATGTCCTTGTGTGCACCTGCAAGTTTTCCCCAAGTACCGTGGTCTCTGCCTGTGCTCCCTTCCCTGAAGCACACAAATGCAGGAGAGCTGCCAGCTCAGCACACCTCCCCATTTTCCCCCACATTCTTGTACCTTCTGAAAGAGAAGGAAATACCATCTCAAACCATGGGGCCTGAATGCTCCAGCCTTGCCTGCCCCCCGGGACCGTCCCTCTGCTCTGGACTGGATTGTGACTCCCGTGCCCTCTTCACCTCTCAGGCGGCTTAGGGTGCGTGCACAGTTCTTGAGGGAGGGGAAGATATCGGGGCTGGGAGTGCCAGGGGGAGCTTGGCCTCCTGCAGGGCCCCCAAAAGCCTTGTCGCACCACCTAACATAAGCAGGGCCCTGGGGGCACTGTTGTCCTGGTAATGTGTGAACGCTTTTTTTTTTTTTAAATTTCACTTGTCCGTGGTATAGCTTTTATTTATAGAAAATGATCCAATGCTGGATAAAAAAGCATGTTTAAAAATTAATGCTATGGTTCCTACTCCCTTTTTTGTTATTCTTTTCACAACCTAAGATATTAACAACCTGAGATATATAATTTATGTCCAATTTATACATTCTTTATGTAATTTATATTCTTTTAATAACAACTCGAGGTAGACTTTGTGTGCAGTGAACCACACCCACTTAAAGATGTGTACACATGTGAAACCACCACCGAAATCCAGGCACAGAGCGCTTCCAGCGCCCCCCGGGGTTGGCCCTCGGCCCCGCAGGCCACTCCTGCCTCCCCTCCCAGCCACCCGCCGTCATCAGCCTGCCCTCTGTCACTTAGATTAGTGGCATTTCTAGAGGAGCATTTTTACTTTTTTTTTAATTTCCAGCCTTATCGAGGTATAATTGACAAATTCTCTCTCTATATATATACATATATATAGACACACACATATGCATAAAGTGTACAACATGATGACTTAAGACACATTTACATTGTAAAATGATTATCGCAGTGAAGTCTGTTAACACACCATCGCTTCATGTAGCTATTTTGTGTGTGAGTGTTGTGCGAACAGTTAAGGTCTGCTCTCTTCGCAGATTCCAGGTACACAGCAGGTCAGCATTCATAATGACCGCCTTCATGCTGCCCCAGAACGTACCCATCTTCTACCTGAAAGTCTGTGCCCTCCCTTTGACCAACATTTCTTTGGAGCTTGCTCAAAATAGTTTTCTACGAAAACTGCCGAGAAAATTAGAGTCTGCTAATTGCCTTGTCAACAGATTTCAAACAATGTGATGGGTATATCCAAAATTGGACCCCTTACCTTTTGGAAAAAAATTGTCCCTGATTAAAAAAAGAAAACAACAAAACGGCTTTAAAAAGTAGTTTCGCATACCTGCATAAGTTTGATCATCATTTTCTCTTCCTAACAGGTGGTGCTTTGTATATCAGTTGACGTATCCCAAGACTATAGCCAAGTAGAAAATGTCATAAAACAAGTAAGAGGTTGGGCAAATTGGAATGAATTCATGGCCTTTTATTTGGTTCTTGGCGTTTTGCTCTGTGGTTTGAAATTGGCAAATCATCCTGATAGGTTTAATAGTTTTACGGGTTTTATGTATTGGCACCGACTCGCTGCTAAGTGGTCCTTCTCTCCCTCCCCTCATGTCTGCCCTGGTCGACTTTTCCAGGCACAGGAGAAGCTGGGCCCGGTGGACATGCTTGTGAACTGTGCCGGGATGTCCCTTTCAGGAAAGTTTGAAGATCTTGAAGTTAGGACTTTTGAAGTAAGTGAAAATTTGGTTTTTGCCCCCGGGGGTAGCCCATACCCTCCAAGTAGAACCCGGCCTTGGGTAAAGGCTTGAGAGACGAAATACGTGAAATGGGTTCGGATTGCGCAGAAGCTTCAGAAGACCAGAGGAAGGCCGCGCTGCACCAGCTTTTGGTCCCGCTGCCGTGCGGTCCAGCCTTAAGGGTCCACACAGGTCTCTCCGCTGGGTTTCCCTGGGAAGTACAAGGGGATTGGACCCTTCAGTCTGACACAGGTGACCGTGATGAATCCCTGAGACAGTAAGAGATTTAAGAGAGAGCTTTATAAGCCGAGAGATGCTGCCTACCTGATGTCAAGTGTCAGTATTCTTAACATGGAAAAACCAGGAAGTTGAGGAGCAGCCTCTGTAAGAGCTCTGACATCAGAACAATAAGACAACGCAAGATATTTATGGTTCTATTTTCAAACAGGTGTGCCATGGAACCTCTCTTAGTCATTTGTTCCCGCTCATGCTTTAGAATGGACATCAGATCGGACATCTTTAAAGTGCAAGACACTTTTTATAGCTGACATTGCATGAGCCCTCTTTTTCTCAGTGTTCTCCCGAGCCTCCATCAGTGTGTGGGGCTTGGCCGCGCTGGTCTGCAAAGCAGACCTGCACCGTCCACTTTGGAGCCCGCGCGGCGGAGGTTCGGACGCCTGGCTCCCGTCGGGCGGGGGGAACGCGCCCTGAGCTCTGGTTGACTGCCGAGTCGGGAACGTCGGGGCGCCAGATGAGCAGGGTGCGCCCCACCTGGGGCTCAAGAGTCTCAGGGCTCCTTATCAACTAGGGACAGAGATAGGGGGCCAGTCTGCCTCTCTCTGTGAGCGATCGAAGGGGAATTTTGAAGAGTATGTCAATGGCTGTGTAAAGAATCGATGGGGGGAGATGGCTGTGGTAGTGACCTCAGCGTGAGAGGATGCGGGAGGGCCCTCAGAGGGGGCCAGCATGAGAGGAGTGGGGGGTTGGGGGGGTGAGAGAGAGAGAGCACGCGCGCCGGAGAGAGCTGGCACGAGGGACAGCCAGCAGACCGCCCCTGACTGCGCGCGGGGGCGGAGGACTGCGGGGTACTTGGTGGCAGGGTTGTAACAAACAAACGCGCGCTCCTAAAGCTAGGACCTGGGGTGGCAGGGCGGCCACCAGGGGACAGGGCGTCAGGGCAGATGTAGGGACGTCCCTGAGTGAAGGCGTGTGTTGTGGAGTTTGTCGCGGGGAGCAAGAACAGCAGAAACGAAGTGCACAGCCCCCGGGGAATGCCTGTGTGTGGCGTCAGTGACAAGGAGACGGTGTGAAGCAGGTGAGGCAAAGGGAGAAGGAAAATCATGAGAATGTGAAGCTTGTAAAATGTTAAAAAATGCACAATTCTAATCTTTTCAAAAAAAAACTTGCAGTGCTCTCAACCTTCAATCTCCTGTTCATACTGTTTCCTTTCCCCTCCCTCCTTCCCTCCCTCCCTCCCTTCTTCCCCTCTTCTCCTCACCAGTCTCCTCTCCCTCTCTCTCGTTTTAAAAAAACAAACCAATCACCACCGACTTCTTGTCCACACGCCAGCACCGCCTCGCAGCCCCCGCTGGACTCTTTGCTGCTCCCTGTTCCCACCAGACACAGCAGAGAAGGGGTGGACTTTGGCATCAGGCTAAACCCGTTTGAGATCCCAGGCCTCATGGTTTCTCATCCGACCGTTTGCTAGCCCTGTGATCGTGGGCAGGTCACCCTTTCCCCTCCGGCCCCAGCTCCCATCTCTGCCCCGGACGGCCAGCCCTCAGAGCTGTGAGGGCTGAGTAACGGGTGCGTGACCCCCGGCCCGTAATACTTGATTAGGAAATATTAATGTCCTTCCCCTCGTAACCACTCAACCCGGAGACACTTGAGAAAGCCTCTTCTGCATTCAGTACTGTTCTGGGCCGGGTGGGGAGGGGTGGTAAGCAAGAGTCAAGTCTTGACCCCTGTGAGGCGGACAGACCGCCTAGGAGCAAGCAGACAGCAGTGTAATTTCAGGCCGGGGTACGTGCAGTGACGAAAGGCAAAGGGGCCAGGGGCTCGGTCAGGTGGTGTGGAAGGAGACCCCGCGGTGCGGGGCCAGGGAAGAGGCCTCCTGCAGAAGAGCCTGCAGCTGCCCTGGCTGCAGGTGGGAGGAGCTCCGCACACCCCGGGAGCCGGGAGCAGGCCTGTGGCTGCGGCATCCCCGGGGGTGGCGGAGTGTGGCCTGGTCTGCGAGGGCCTTGAAGGCCACCCTCAGCAGGATGGAGTTTAGTCTAAAACCTCTGAAGAGGCTTAAGCCAGGCTGGGCATGGCGTGATCTCCATCTCAGTTCGCAAAGGCTCCCCCGCTGAGGCAGGGAGGCTTTTAGGAGCTCCTGGGGTTACTGAGGGATGAAATGTGATGTTGGGAAGTGGGCGGGGGCAGCGTGTTGGGCAATCACAGGGGGTGGGTGGCAGGAGTCGGGGGCAGGTCAGCGCAGGGGCTCAGCCGGCTGATGGGGGTGTGGAAGAAATCCTGCCCGCAGGGAGAACTCACCTGAAAAGGAGTTTTGACCAAACCTGAGGCCTCTATTCCAGCGGCAGGGCCTGACCCCAGGAGGCCCTCTCGGTCCCTCCTCCCCTGGCTACCCCCATGGAGGCCGCAGGGGACCGGCCCCTTCCAAGGCCCCTCTTCCCTCTGGGGCTCAGTCACTTGCTTTGTTCTAGCCAAGTCCAGGGGTCTTCAGGGAGCCCTGTTAGAACACACACTACCACGTTGCTGCATCTTCAGAAGCTAAGAGTTCATTTTTATGTAATTACTATGCAATTATAAATTCTGTCTCAGTTACTTTTGTTTGGCTTCTGGTTCTCAGTTTCCATGTTACTGAAGTTCACACGCACGTGAGCTGCCTAGGCGCCATACCTTGCCCGTGTCTTTCCTGCACAGTGCGGGCAGGGTGGGGGTGGGGGTGCAGGGGAAGTACGCCTGCCCCGTGCGAGTCCGCAGGCAGCCGACTCCTGGAAGCCAGTGCCAGGTGTCACTGGACTCTGCCCTGGGTGCCTTTGGCCCTTGCTGACTTTGCTTTGTGTCTGTTCACTGTAATAAACCTTAGTCATGAGCACAACACTGTGCAGAGTCCCACGAGGCCTTCCCATGAATCACAAAACTGGAGGTGAACTTGAGGAACTCCCTCTCACTTCCTTCTCTTCATTTTCCTTTTTGATGCCTTTCTTTGTGGTTTCTTGGAGCTGTGCCTTGTTTTCTCAACCTGTGAGTGTTGAGCTAATTTACATTTTTTATTGGGATTGCATTGACTCTATGGATCCATTTAGGGAGGATTGATGTCCTAACAATATTGCCTTCTAACCCGTGGACATGACCTAGACCTTCTACGTTAAAGACCACGTTACCTGCAATAGCTTTGCTGGTGACCCTGTCCTCCGGACTCCCTTGTTGCTCTGCTGAAACTTCCAGCACAGTTTTGGGCTGCAGTGTTGAGAACAGGCATTACTGTCTTGTCCCTGATCTTAGGGAGAAAACATTCAGTCTTGACCATTTAAGTAGGCTGTTAGCTATAGTTTTGTTTTTGTGGTTTTGATAGATGCCTTTTTTCAAGCTGAAGAAATTCCCTTCTATTTCTGTTTGCTCAGAGTTTTTTTTTTTTCTTAATAAGGAATGGATGTTGAATTTTGTCAAATGCTTTTTCTGCATCCATGTGGGCAACCAGAGTTCTTCCTTTTTTAGTTTGTTCATGTGGTGAATGACATTAATCTATGCAGTTAAACCAACCTTGCATTCTTGGCATAAATCCCACTTGGTTATGCTTATTTCTATGTTCTTGAGGGATATCTTCCTTTCTCATAATGTTATTTTCTGGTTTTGGAATAAGTAATGCTGGCTCTATGGGATGAATAGGGGAGTATTCTCTCCAATTTTCTGGAAGGGTTTGTATAGAATTGGTACTGTTCTTTCTTAAATGTTTGGTAGAATTCTTTGTGGGAAGGTTTATGATTTTAATTCCCTTTCTTTAATAAGTAGATGGCTACATATGTCTGTTCTTTCTGAGCAACTTTTGGTAGCTGTACCTTTCAGGAAATTGGTCTGTTTTATCTAAGTCATTGAATTTATTGGCACAGTGTTATTCACCATATTCCATTGTTGCCCTTTTCATTTCCATGGAGTTTGTAGTGTCACCTCTTCCATTCTAGAGATTGATCATTTGTGTCCTCTCTCTTTCCCGGCCAGGATGACTAGACGTTTATCAATTTTATTGATTTTTCTCAGTAACCAGCTTTTGGCTTTATGTTTTTTTTTCATTGGTTTTCTGTTTCCTTTCTCATTTATCCCCTCTATTATTTTTTAAAAATGCAATATACATATATATATTTTTAAGATTTTTATTTATTTATTTATTTTTAGAGAGGGGAAGGGAGGGAGAAAGAGAGAGAGAGAAACATCAACGTGTGGTTGCCTCTCGCTTGCCCCCAACTGGGGATCTGGCCTGCAACCCAGGCATGTGCCCTGACTGGGAATTGAACTGGCGACCCTTTGATTCACAGGCTGGCACTCAGTCCACTGAGCCACATCAGCCAGGGCCCTTCTTTTATTTTTATCATCTCCTTTTTTCTGTTGCCTTTGTTTAAATTTGCTCTTCTTTTTATAGTTTCTTTAGGAGGAAGCGGAAATCGTTGATTTGAGGCCTTTTACCTTTTTAATACAGATATTTCAGTGTGGCTTTTGCTGCAGGAAGTGTTTTTACTTTCATTCAGTTTCCCTTGCCATTCCATTGCTTGGCCCCTCAGGTTATTTAGAAGTGTGTTACTTAGTTTCCAAATATTTAAGTGTTTTTCAGAAATCTTTCTCTTACTGATTTCCAATTGAATTCCATTGATGTCAATGAACATACTTTGTATTACTTGAATCTTTTCACATTTATTGAGACTCATCTTACAGCCAGAATATAGTGTATCCTATAGCCATACTTGAAAGGTACACTTAGTAACATTGTCCTAGTCTTCTGTATCTTTGCTGATTTTGTGTCTACTTGTTCTATCAGTTATTGAAAAGGGCATATTGAAATCTCGGATTATAATTGAGAATGTTCTTGTCTGACTTTTTTTAAACAGGCTTTTAGTTGATACTCTTGCCATTCAGCCCCATGCCCTCCCCTCCTGATGTTTCTGGCCTTTATTTCTAAAAGTCATCTAACATTCTATTGGATTAACATTTCATGATTGCTTGAAAGTTCCTCCAGTGAAGTATTTGGTTTTACATGATGACCGATCTAGTATTTTTACGAGACTTGTAACATAAAAACATCTTGATGCAAGTAGTCTTCGATTTTCAAATTCAAATGTGAGGTATTGAAGAGTTCCCAGGAGGAGGGGAAAGTGTACTGTTGGTACTTATGGAAGGTCTTCCCCATCGCAATGTAAGCGCCAACATTTACCGAGTACTTACATTGGGTCAGGACCTGCGCTAGCGCCCAGCCTGGGTTCCCTCTTAGTCCTTGCGGTAGCCCTGTGAGATGACAGCATTATTAGAACCCTGTTTCAGCTGCATGGGACTTTCTTGTCTGTCACCAGGTAGGTAGTAAACGGTAGAGCTGAGGCTTCAAACCACAGCCCAGGCTGTCAGCCACCGTCCTCGTCTCTCTGGGGTCTTTCTTAGATTAGAATGAAAGGGCTGGTCCGATTTGGAAGCTCATTCCTAAAACGGCCTTTCCAAAAGTATTACCTGCTAAGAGAAAACTAGTTTTGACCCAGTTTCAGCAAAGACATAACTGTGATCATCAGGAGAACCCAAGACCAGATAGAAACAGACTTCAAATAACAGATCCTGAGCATCATGGCTCAGTGTCAGGGTCATTTTCTCGTTTGTTCGTTTGTTCCTTCCTTCCTTCCTTCCTTCCTTCCTTCCTTCCTTCCTTCCTTCATTCATTCATCGAATCCACCAGGCTCCCATCTGGAGAGCAGACGGCATGCCTGGGAGTGCATGCAGCCTCGTGGCTTTGACCTTCCTCATTCCCCACAACCTCTTTGCTTCCTGCAGAAACTCATGAGCGTTAACTACCTGGGCAGCGTGTACCCCAGCCGAGCTGTCATCACCACCATGAAGGAGCGCCAGGTGGGCAGGATCGTCTTCTTGTCCTCCCAGGCAGGCCAGGTGGGACTCTACGGTTTCACGGCCTACTCTCCGTCCAAGTTTGCCATCAGGGGGTTAGCGGAAGCGCTGCAGATGGAGGTAAGCGCTGTGTTTGGTTTTATATTTCTTCCTGTCAGCTCAGCAAAGGGTCCCCTTTAGTCTGTCGCTTCTTTACACATGTTGTTCTGTTGCATTACAGATTCGTAGACTTGACCTCAGTGAAAGGGCATTGGCTCAGCGCCTGAATCTTGTGATTAAAATGTTAATATTTTTTATTGCGTAAAATTGATTGTAGTTGTGACAAGTAAAATGGTTGCGAGGTTTTTGCTTGCTTAATTGAATACACAAAGTATTACTAATATCTTAATTACATCATTGGTCTAATACTGTGTATGTGTAATAGGGTTGACCAGATATTTTATTCTCTAGAGTTGTTTCTTTAACAAAAAGATCTGTCCTTATGACTCATTAATACAATGAGCGTGTGTTTGATGGGAGAGTGGAAGCTGCCTGGCTGGCAACTTTTAGACAAATCATTTAACTTGGTCTCAGTTGCCTTATCTGTAAAATGAGAGGGTTGGACTAAATCATTTGATTCTCCTCCTACATATATTTAATTTCTTAAAGAAGCATTAATAAGTGGGGCTGCTTTTTATTTTCACAGTTAATAGAACCTTTTGGGGAAGAGGGTGAGGTTGGGATTGGTATCAGAGGTAAGTGTCGCAACGTGACAGCCTTGGCCGCAGGCTGTGTGGAGTAGGCTTCCGCGTTAGTGTCACAGGGGAAGGCTCAGAGGCCGCCCCACTTGCCTGTCCAAAGTCACGAACTAACTGAAAAAGGCAAGGCGATTGCAATGTATGCAGAAGTATAACACCGCGCTGTGACGGTAAAGACCCAGGAGCGAATCCATGGTGGCCAACTCTCTCAGGGTAGCCGTGTGACTGGAGAATCCCATTTCATGACTGAGATCAGCGGTGGGAAAATGTTTTTCTGCCATGGTCCAGAGAGTTATATTTTAAGCTTTTGAGGGCTGAGTGGTGTCTGTCCTGACTACTCAAGCCTCCTGTGATGCAGGAAAGCAGCCGTGTGTGACACGTAAATGAATGGGTATGGCTGGCTGCCAATAACACTTTATTGATTAAAAAAACAGGTGAAGGGCCTGGTGTGGCCCACAGACCATAGCTTGCTCACCCCTGATTTAGAAAATCCCTAGAGGAGCCCTCAGTGGCATGTGACACAGAGCCACCCTGCTTGGATCCGGGATGAGCACTGCCGTGGGCGAGCTGGCTGGTCAGTGACACGTCCTGAGGTGCCACCAAGGGGCTGATAGACCGTGCCATTCTTTTCAAAGGAACCAGCCCCAAATTTCATGTCCATCTACTTGCTGAATGCTTTCATCAGTAATAAGTCATGATAATATGATTAGCCAGCCGGACACATACAACTGTGACATTTCAAACAAGAGTGCTGGATTCCTGTGGCAATTTTTACGTTGAAAAGTCTCTTTGTGAAGAACCATTTTATTTTTATAACAGTTTTGTGAAATACTTGAGGCAGAGGATGTTATGCCACCTTTCAGATCAGAAAGCTGAGAGTTTTCAAGAAGTTCATGGGGGAGCTGAAAGCCGTGTGGTAGCTTTGTGACCGAAATAGTTACCAAAGGCCTGATCTTTGGGCTTGATGTTTGCTCCTCTCCTCCAGCAAAAAAAACTGTCTGCAATTCAGGTCAGAGTCGCCTCACTCATCTGGCTGGTTGCCTCCACCCTTGACTTCGGTCTGAGAAACTTAGTAGGGGGAAGCGGTGTTTGGAAATGACAAGTGTGCTCATTAGGGCTGTGTGTCCTTACGTCTTGTTTTGCAGAGCCGCCTGATCAGGATTCAGTAATGTAGGGCAAAGCATAATACAGGCGGCCTGGTTCCACCTCAGGTAGAATGGAGATGTTAGTGAAAAAGAGGGAAAAGAACATCAGTGGCCATTGCAGAGTCCCCACAGCCTCTTTGTGACAAGTGTGAGTCACATGCTGCAGGTTGCTGGCCCGGACCTGCCAGTCTCCTTGACTTCTCTCTGTATTTGGACTCTCTTCAGAATGTCCTCGTGTAAACAAAAAATAAAATAAAGTAAACCTGTACAGTGAAGAATAGTTTTGGGAGGAAATAAATTCAATAATCCAAATCTAGTTTGTTCATAGTAGAACGTGCATCAAAACAGACATTTCCTTACAGACTTCTGGTGTTGTGCTTTTGAAACCTGGATAATTGAGTCTCTTTGGCCAAGATGGTAGTGTTTTTTTGTTTTTAAAGATTGTATTTATTTATTTATTTATTTTTAGAGAGGGGAAGGGAAAGAGAAAGAGAAAGAGAAACATCAATGTGTGGTTGCATCTTGCATGCCCCCTACTGGGGACCTCACCCACAACCCAGGCATGTGCCCTGCTGGGGAATCGAACCAGCAACCCTTTGGTTTGCAGGCCAGCGCTCAGTCCATGGAGCCACACGAGCTAGGGCATGTTTTCTTCCTTTTTGTGTGTGTGTGTGTGTCATTTAAAGCCTTTTTTTTTTTTAAAAAATAATAGACATAGGCAAGAAATATACCAAAACAGGTTTAGTTTCAACAAATAGTAAAGGGAGAATTAAAATGTCATTGTTACAATCAGATTAATGAGTATTTAAAATATTGGTAATATCAAGTATTGGCAACTCTGAGAGGAACTTGGTATTCATAGAAACTTTTTCTTCATCTTAAAGCAGTCCCTTTAGCATATTTTGCAGTGTTGGTTTGGTGGAGGTGTAGTCTTTTAGCCTTCTTTTGTCTGGGAAACTCCTTACTTCACCTTCCATTTTAATTGAGAGCCTTACTGGGTAGAGCAGTCTTGGTTGCAGGCCTTTGCTTTTCATGACTTGGAATATTTCTTGCCACTCCCTTCTGGCTTGCAGTGTTTCTGTTGAGAAGTCAGCAGCTAGCCGTATTGGGGCTCCCTTACATGTTACTACCTGTTTCTCCCTTGCTTGCTTTTAGGATTCTCTGTTTGTCTTTGATATTTGCCATTTTAATGATGATGTACCTTGGAGTGGGTCTCATTGGGGTCCTCTCGAATGGGACCCTCTGTGCTTCCTGGACTTGTGTGACTTTTTCTCTCATCCAATTAGGGAAGTTTTCTAGCATTACTTTTTCAAACAGGTTCACTACCCCTTGTTCCTCCTCTTCTCCTTCTGGTATCCCTATTATATGGATATTATTATGTTTCAGGTTGTCCTGCATTTCCCTAAATGCCTCTTCATTCTTTTTGAGTCTTTTTTCATTTTCTGGCTCTTTCTGGGAGTTTTTTTCTACCTCATCCTCCAGCTCGCTGATTCGGTCCTTAGCTTCATCTAGCCTGCTTTTGACCCCTTCTACTGTGTTCTTCAATTCAGAAATTGTATTCTTCATTTCCTCTTGTCTCTTATTGTTATTTTCTATGTCCTTTTTCATGCTGATGTAGTTTGCAGTAAGTTCCTCGTAGTTTCCCTGTAGTTTTTGGTAATTCTCTCTGAGCTCATTGAGCTTCTTTAGAACCGTTGTTTGGAACTCAGTCTCTGATAGTTTACTTGCCTCTATTTCATTTACTTCTCTTCTTGAGGATTCCTCCTTTCCCTTCGAGTGGGGCATATTTCTTTGTCTTCCCATTATTTGTGAGACTCTTTTCTTTTGATTCTGCTTCTTAAGTTGATCTGTCTTGATTTCCTGCTAGGGCATGTTTTCAATGAATGAAACAGACCTTGTAGAATTGTTCAAATGCTAACTCCTTTTGATAATCCTTTTTGGTTTAACTCTTAAGTCCTGTCCACCCCACCCCTTGCCCCAAAACTAAAGCCAGACCCTAGAAATGTATTACTAATTTGGAAAGAATGCCTTGTTGCATTTGTTTGTCTTTTCAAAAGTCAGTCTTTTAGGTACAAATACATCAGTTAAAGATTTTAATTGTTGGCTTTTGGGGAAAGCCGAGACCAAGTAAAAGAAAATCTTGTCTGGATCCTGCTCGCACCCACTGACTCCACCTCATCCCTCTTGACCTGGAGGTCCGTGCTGCATGTCAGCTCCTCTCATCTTCTCCCCTGACACCCTGTGTTTGTCGGGATGGAATCAGGAATAACACACCTTGGATGGGGTTATCCTGACACTAAATCAGTTCTTGAGTAGGTGATTGTCTTTCTGCTGAGACCGAGCCCAGGCAGCAGGGGAAAGATGATACATAGGACGGGAGGCGGGCAGAGGGGAGGGTGGGGATGAAGAGAGGCCGACAGTGGCTCGGGGGGCAGGGAGTCAGCTGGTCAAGTTCTGGCTTATAAATTCTGAGGAAGAGAAGTGACGCTTTCTGGAGCCCGCATTGTCTTGGCAAGAACAAGTGAGGCGAAACGAACCTCATTTTCTTCTCTGCAGGGGCTGTGGGATTAGTCGATTAAAGGAAAGTATAGATATAGTTTAATGTATTTGGATTTTAGCACATTATCTGACCAAGAATTTCAGGAGACCGTAAGCTCCGTGAGAGCAAGGATTCTGTCAGTTTTGGTCACATCCGTATGCTTTATTCTTAGAACAATACCGCCACAGAGTAGTAATTCGGTATTTGCTGGATGAATAAATAAACTGGTTGGCTTGCTAGCCGCTGGGAGGTATCCAGCCAGAGGCTGAGAGAGTCATTTGGCTTCCTGATTATAGACAGGGTACCGCACCCGAGAAGGGATTGGCCGGGTCTCTGTCCGTGCCCAGGCTAGGAGAGAGCTGCTCTGAAATGCTGTTTTAATTATTTGGAAACTCAGCCAAAACCTTGAGTTTGAGAAACTTGAGAAACTCTGCTTTGAAATGCTGTCTTCTGTTGGCTTATGTGCCACGATCCTTACTGTTGGGCAGCATAGACATGACTGTGTCTGAGAGGTCAGCATCAGGCCTTGTAGGGTCTGCTGACCACTCACTGGCTTTCCTTAATTAAATTTATTGAAGTGACACTGATTAATAAAATTATATAGTTTTCAAGTGTACAGTTCTGTGGCTCATCAGCTGCATCTTGCATTGTATGTGTACCACCCGCTCCCTCACCGTATATTTGACCCCCTTTACCCTTTACTCCCCCACCCCCATTCCCTCTGGTAGCCACCACACTGCTGTCTGTGTCTGTGAGTTTTTGTTTGTCCCATTTGCCCATTTGTGGCTTTCAGTTTTATATCCCGCATGCAAGTTCTCTGGTCTGTGCACAAGGCCACGGGAAACAGTTTTTAAAGTCACTGTCTCAGAAACAAGTGGAAGAGAACTTGCTTGCTCATCAGCCTCCCCGCCCGGCCTGGACCCAGAGCCATTTGTGAGCGTAGCCGGGCTCTGAAGCCGCATTCCCGGTCTGTGCTGACGGAGCCCTGGGCGCCCAGGGGTCCCGCCGACAGGAGCTCCCCCTTGGCTTCCGCACTGTCCGGGACCGGCTGCCTGGGACCTGCTGTCCGCAGGTTCCTCCTGGCCTTACAGCGCCCCCCATGGGCTGCAGAACTGGGCCCCGCAGAGGGACCCCGGGAGGAAAGGGCTCTGCGATGAGAAGGGACCCTGGGGGCTCTCCGAGGCTGCTGCCCTGGGTGGTCCTGCCATGTTTGTTCAGTCTCCGGGGAGACCCGCTTCCTGTCAGCTGCCTGTCCACTTCCAGGTCAACCAGAGTCCTGGTTTGGGTGGTGTGAACCATCACCCTTAGAGTCGCTAAGAACCCGGGTCAAGCAGGGCTTTGGGAAGGGTGTGTCCCACTTGACCGGCAGGAGAATCTTCTGGAATTGGAGAGGGCGTATGTTTGAGGGGGACGTTTGAGTGTGGAGGCACGGCAGTGAGGTGGATGTGTCTAAGAAGACGTTCTTCCACACCATCCGCGGGGCCCGCTGAGGCTGTCCCCAGGGGAGGCGCTGGGTTGGGCCTGCGCGGCGGCGCCGCCTGCGGGAGGAGGCCTCGTGTCCGGTTCCGGGAAGCACGAAGGGACTCCCGAGCCCCTCACGGGCAGGGCCGGCTGCCCAGGGAGCCCCTGCAGGAGCAGTCTTCTCGGGGTGCACGCAGTTCTGTAGCCAGGGCTGGGTGTGACATGCAGGACACGGGGGAAGGGTCTAAGTGATCTCAACATATTTTGTAGATGAAATCAGCGTAACAAGAGTTTCAGAAACAGCAGGAGGGAAAACACGTTTGCAATCTGATGGCGGAGCAGCAGACCTGGGGTGTCACCTTGAACCCAGAGCCCAAGCAGGGTGCGGTGGGCGCGGAGGCCAACGGGGCTCCTTCTAGCGTTGTCCATTTGTCACTTTTGTCACTGGCAGCAGCAGGAGGGGTGAATGGCTATACCCTAAGACCAGCTGTCTTCTGGAGTGGAAGTTAGGATGAGCTATTGTCTTTATTTCTGAGTGAGCTTCAGGGAGAGGCCTTCCCTGGCTCAGCGGGTGGTGCTTTTGCCCTTAACAGAATCTCCTGTCACGCTGGGGCCACCTTTGAGACAAGCAAGGGCGCGTTTGGTGCCGTATGTGTACCCAGCACCCCGTGCAGGCTGGTTGGGGTGGACGCGCAGTTGTGTCTTGTGTACTGAGGTGCAGCTGTTGTTTCCGACATGCAGGTGAAGCCCTATAACGTCTATGTCACCGTTGCCTACCCACCGGACACAGACACACCTGGGTTTGCAGAAGAAAACAAGACAAAGGTAAGCTTTGCTCTGTGCCCCGACTCAAGTCCTTAACGTCGGACACCCTGCTTCTCTTTCCACACTCCAGCCTGCAGGCATTTTCATCAGTCAGAACAATGAGTTCCTTTCAATTTATGTGCGAGCTATGGGCCTCGGAGCGTTCTGGAACATTTGTTTGACACCTTGGAGAATGCAGCCATATTTTCAAAGGCCATGAGTTTTGCTAATGGTCACTGAAGCCTTGTTGAATTAACAAGGTATCTTCTTTATGATGGCGCGTACAGCCTGTATTTTTAACTAACGAGATGATATTCTTTGTAAGTCATATTCTCGCCCCTGAACTCAAAGACCTGGTTGCAGTTCCATTGTCTCCCTGTGGAGCTCTCACGGGCACCTCAGACAAAACGGGACTTTTGATTCTCTCTCACGCCCCCTGGTTGTTTTCATCTCATTACCTGGCACCCACCGCTCACCCCACGGAGCAGGCGATGAACCAGAAGCCGGCTGCTCCCCGTCTTGGCTCCCCTGTCAGAACATGTCCCAAACCTGACCTGCTTATTTATTTATTTTGAACTGCACATGCCACTACCATTCAGGCGGTGACTACCACCGATGTTTTTGCCTCAACTTACTTTACTGGCTTCAAACTGGTCTGCCTGCTTCCGTTCATCTGCCCTGGGGTCTGTTCTTTACAGTCTCTGGTGGCCTTTTAAAAGCTTAAGTCAGGTCTTGCCACTCCCCTGTTTAAAACCCTCCTGTGAGGGAAAAAAGAAAAACACCCAGAAGACCAAACCCCTCTTGGGCAACACAGTCCAATAAAATGTTCTAGAATAGTGAAAGTGTTCTGTGTTTCACTCTCTAATATGGTAGTCACATTGTGGTCTGGCGCTCCCGCGATGTGGGGTGTGAGGTTGAGAAATTGAATTTTTAATTTTATTTCATTTTAACAAATTCAAAGTTAAAATTAAATAGTGCCTGTCGGTAGCGGCTACCACCATGCCGAGTAGACTGCAAAGGCCTGTGTGAACGTCCGCGGTGTCTGGGCCCCGACCGGCCACCCGCCCGCCCGCTCGCAACGCGCCCTCCACGCTCATGCTCGGTTCCGCGGGCTGGGCTGGCCTGGCCCGTTGCCACCTGCGCTCTCGCCGGGCCCTCTGGACGTTTGAATGGCTCACCCCCTTGGATCTTCCCATCTCTGTACAGAGGTCGCTTCCCTGACCCTCTGTAGCTCTGATGGCATCTCCCTGGGGGGGCCTCCATCCCCTGCCTTTATTTTTTTCCTCTGTGATGCTTGTCATCCCTGGACATGACATGCAGCAGCTGCCGGGGGTCCTGAGCTGGAGGCAGGCTTTGCATTTTGTTCGGTGCCTTGAGGCGCAGTAGGCACTCTCTGAGCACACGAATCAAGTGGAGAGGAAAGGAATCCATCAGAACGTACCACCTTGATCTGGTGTTGCTTGTTTTCCCCCTCTTTTGTAGTGATGTTTAGTGGGAACCTGCGCTGCTTACAAATGGGCGCTGAGACTCCACAGACTGTAGAGTTGCAGAAAGATGTTTATGATTTAGAAGCTTTTTTTCCTATTCACTTCTCTTCGGCTCTGCCTCTTTTAAAATCACTACTATTTCAAAGAAGTAAATTTAAGCCAAATGTCTGTCTTAGAATAAGCAGGGAATCTGCTAAGCAGATTTGCAGCATTTGGTAAGCAGTCTTTTAGTTTGAAGCCAACACTGACAAAGGGTGGTGATTTCCCTGTGAAGATGTGATTTTGATGTTAAGTTGGGTTATTTTTTTCCACCGCTAAAATGTTGGGCAGGCTCCTTAAGGCAAATCAAATGCTACTCTGGTCTGTGGCCCCCATAGGGGGCGCCATAGTGCTTTTAAACACAGTGTGGCTGTGGCCGCGTGGTTATCCCGGCGTCTCTGTCTGGAAGAATGAGTCGTGGCACCTTCAAAAAGGCCTTTCTCTGAAGTCAGGTTTCTCAAGAAATACTGGACTTTAATGAAGAGCTGTGCTTTTCTATTTTAAGAAGATACATTCTGGTTTTAATTTTAATTCTTTTCAGCCTGCACAGTAAATAAAATTTACAGATCTGTGCAGTTTAAGGCTTCAGTTTTGAAACTTCTACCCGAAATTCCCTTATAAAGCATGTTTGGGTGTTTATGTGTATCGCCACAAAGAAGATTTTTAAAAATGGGGGCGGGGAAAGACCCTGTCCATGAAGGACTTAGGAGGTAATTTGTAAATACACAAGTAGCTCTAATATACATTCATGCAGAAATGTTCAAAGACAGGAAATTACTGCTGGTTAAGAATTCACAGAAGGCTTTCTGGCCTCTGTGGCAGTGGAGACAGACCTTTAGCGAAAGGCTCAGAGTTGGGGTTCTGATGCGCCGACCCAGTAACAAGCACGCAGCCATGAGAGGGACCGACCCCTTAATACTTCATCTCCCAGACCTCATCGTCTCCCCTGCAGGTCCTTTAAGAAACAGCTGCGGTTGTGGCCGTCCCTCCGCTCTGTCCAGGTGCCAGTCCTTGGCTGGCCTCGGGGGAGAGTGACAACGGAGATGCAGGCGGTCAGAGCAGACGTGCTCAGGACGCCCGGCCCAGGCCGGGTGTCAGCCTCGTCGGTCAGGCGCCTGGCCAGTGGCGAGGGGTCAAGTGGGGAGGTTTCTGGTCTCGTGCCAGTCGTGTGTTCTCATTCAAGCTTTGGTGGTCCTCACTGGGGCCGAGACCTCCGTCCTACAGAGAGTGGCCAGGGCCTCTCTGCCTGGGTTCAGGTTCTGGGCTGAATTGTGACCGGGTCGGAACAGATTTAGAATCCAGGTGGCCGTAATTCCAAAAATAGGAACCTACTCAAAGGTAGAAAACTGAACTTACCTATAAACCGGAGGGGGAGGGGGGCTCTGAGAATTATTGATGTTTTCAATTTAATGGTGTTATGTCCATTTTCCACTTTAGCCTTTGGAAACCCGCCTTATTTCAGAGACCACGTCTATTTGCACACCAGAGCAAGTGGCCAAACAGATCGTCAAAGATGCCATAGTAAGTCACTCCTGGTTTTCTTTATTAATAGCTGTAGTTCTATATGTCTGAAAAGCTATTAGTCCCCAGACCTAATTCAAAACATAAATTATTGTACATTTTTGGTCAGTCAGATTCATCGTATCTAGTAGGGGACTCTGCTCTTCTTCTCTGAGAAAGATTACCTATTCCATGTTAATTAGCAGGCTTCTGGAAGCAAATTAGACAGGGTCCAGTACAAATAGCACCCCTTTTTTATTACAAAATCAGAAGCATGTAGTTCTGTAACATAACAATATCACACTCAAACACACCGTATGACATTTTAGATGAAATGTTCGAATTAAAACTATAGATTATTATACCCATAGTATCACCCTACCAATCACACTCACGCAGGCCTTATTTCTGCCAGACCCTGTATTATATCTTAACCTGAGGAACAGATTAATCATTGTTGGTGTCTGGGAATGTTGGTTCTTTAAAAAAAAAGGGGGGGGGCTTATCTGTGATGTGTCAATGGTATGTTCCGTGCACTGTATGTGGCATGCTGTCTCCTTCCTTCTTCCCACAGTAGTTTCAGTGTTAGATTATTTTAGGTGCCTTGCCAGACTTGTGGGTTTTTCCTTCACCTCCCTGCTTCCCAGAATCATTTTCTCAAATGTTCACAAATAAGAAAGTGCAGCCAGCCCATTGGGCCACCGCCTTCGCCCCGCCACCGCCCCCCTCCGTCAACCCACAGAATGTGCTTCTGGGCTACTGAGTTTATTTGGAATCAAACACGTTATCTTCAGAAACCACGTGCTGTTTTGTAGCACAGCACACGTGTCAGAGGCTTTTGGAACATTCCTGTTAACCCACACTCAGAAAAATAGCCAACAATGGGCGTGTCTGTAAGCCTGAGGCCCACATTGAACTGGGGAAATTGGAGGGCCCCTAGAATGAGACGCGTCGGGAGGCTGTGTCTGAGGCTGACCTGAGCCGAAGACAAGAAATCTCGAGCTTTATGAAAGCACATGCAGACGTTGGAAGGACTTTGCCCTGCTGTGTTCGAAGGCATGGAAAGACGGCCCATGGATGGGGTGGACTTTGTGTTTCTTGCTTATCTCAAGACAAAGCAAATACTTGGTGTTTTTAATGATCTGAAACAGCCCTTTGTATTTCAGCAGGATTCATTTAGTCTAGCGGCGATCAGCCTTCACCTCTTGGCCACTTGACACTTGGAATGGGTGACAACCCCAGAGAACTTTTGCTTACTTCGGTTATAGTTGCCACATTGCAGGTGGAAACTGTATAATTTTTAAAATATTTATTGACCCATTTAAACTAACAGTAACAAACCCGTTACATTTTAATGTAACATTTTTACAACCGTAATTATTTCTCAAAACAAACCTTTGGTGGACCAAAGGCTTTGCTTTACGCAGCAGTGGTCTCCTCGCTGTGTGTGTTCCTGGAAGGCAGCTGGGTTCTCCGAGCCGCTTCTGAGAACATATTCAGTGTGTTATCATATGTGGTTTTGAATGAAGGATACAAAGAAAACCTGGCCTTACACAGACATGTAGTTAGAAGAGGGAGGGGTATTTTAGAGGCTTTTCAGATCATTACGGACATGCTTTTATGGTTTGAAACCCACGCTGGATGAAGAGTAGTTTCTTAAAGGTTAGTTGCCGTGTGGAATTGGAAACTGTTAATGAACTTTTTGTTCTCTGTTTCATGAAAATCCATTGGTCTTTGCACTTTGAATGTTTTGGACCCATTCATGATTTTGTAATGGCGTGCATTAGTCATTCGGAAAATATGGGTTCGCCACGTTATCCAAAAAATCACATTTATTAATGTCGCGGCTGATCTTATAAAAGGGGAGCTGACAGTCTCATGGAAAGCTCAGATTTTATTTATTTGAACACTGACCATAAAAACTGCCAATTTTTCTTGACATGACAGGCCATTTCCTTAATTTTCCAGAAACAACCTTCCAAATACCAAGCGTGAGTAACCATAGGTTGTCTGTTGGTGGTTCTTGCATATAAAAATGGTATTCCATGAACAAAGTAGCAAGTTTCCATGAAAAAAAAAAAAGCAAGTTTCATGACCTAAGCCATAGGAAGAAGGGTGCTTACTTAATATCAAGAAGACATGTCCTCAAGGGTTGAGATTTAACTCAACAGTTCATTTTACTGCCTTATCAAGGGCATTTTAAAGCAAAACCGGCATTTTAAAATTTTACGAGTTTTTTTCAGAATTTCTGTTTGTGTATTTATCACAGCTGGTGTGTGTGGCAGTGGAGAGGTGTCACTGCTGTGATCTGTGCCAATGAGCATTTTGCAGATGTCACTCGGTGAAAAACTCCATGAATGCGTTTGTATTATGATGACAACCTTTTTGTCCTTGGGAACACCCAGGGTCCCCGACTGACCCACGTCTTGAGGACCTCCCATGTATCAGTCCCTGGGCCAAGGCCCCGTGCGTTTCTGAGCTGCGACAGGTCCTTTGTTAGCCTCTCCTGCCGCATAGGGTAAATGGAAATGCTTCTCTCTTCCTGACACGTTGAGTTGATTCCTTGCTGTGTAACTACTGTTGCTTCTTTCTTTTCTCTCCCTTCCTTCAGCAAGGGAATTTTAACAGCTCCATTGGCTCGGACGGGTACATGCTCTCGTCCCTCACCTGCGGGATGGCTCCTGTCACTTCCATTACTGAAGGGCTCCAGCAGGTAAGCGGTGCCGGGGCCAACAGGCAAATGGACAGACGACAGACAGCACCTCTCATTAAACCTCAGTGGGAAAAGGCTAAATAAAAGGAGATTTAGCAGCATGATCTGAGCATGTGAAAAATTTTTATTCAAGCAGCAACTTTCTCCCTGCCTCTCCCAGGGATAAGTCACTGAGGAGCAGGTTAAAGATTTCCCTTGGGTGACTTGGCCTGGGCAGAAGGCTCCCTTGCTGGGCACGGCAGAATCAGAGGCGCGGCGCTGTCTCTGCTGCTGGGGAGTCAGCCTGGGCTCTCGTCTGATCGCAAGTATTGGGAACATGGAACTCTCCTCTGTCTAGAGTAGTTTAGGGTGGCCTTGCCTGAGCATCCTGGGATGTTAGACTAGAGCTCCTTTCCTAGGTGAGTCAGGCCATAGGTAACTAAGCTTAGGGAGGTACAGGTTCAACACAACCCCCGCCCTAACGGACACAGTAGTTCACCCGGGACATAAACGGTTAACTGCTCCTTGGTGAGCTGGGGGCTGTGTTTGCTTCTGGAGGATGGGGGGGTGAACTCCAGAGGTGCACGGTCTGGGGGGAGAGGCCGACCTCCAGGGTCTCCAGTTACACTGGAGGCCGGCTCCGGAGAGACAGAGCCACGATGGTGCAGGGTGGGTGGGGGCCCAGCAGCGGCGGAGGCTGCCCACGCGGAGGGGTCCTTACAACAAAGTGCTGAGTTAGGTGCCCCAGCCTGCGTCCAGACTGAATGTCCGAATGACTTAGCGGTCGGTTTTCCTCACTCTTCTCTTCTCTAAACCCATCCACAGTGTCGCGATTCCCTCTCAGACACAGGCAGCTCTGTGACGTGTGGGCTCTTCCTCCGTCTCCGCCCCCGGCAGCCCCGGCTCTCTTGACCATCTCCGTAGTGTTGCCTTTTGCCAGCTTCCCTTGGGTTTTTACATTTCTCAGAGTCACCCTTGTGCAGACGTCGGAGAATCAAAGCGGTTTCAAGGCTCATTAGGAAAAGCAGCGGTCCCTCGTTCCGCGTCCCCGCTCCATCGCTGTCCTGTTAGCCAGACGTCTGGTTCGTTGCCTCCGTGAGTCTAGGTTATGGACGTAACAGCCACTTCCACTGTGCCTCTCCCTTTGGGATTGGGGACGGACTTCAAGGCCTCCCCGCTCCCCCGGCCCTTGCACCCACCTCTTCTCTATCCCCACCCTCCCTTCTTAGCGATACTGAGATTTTGGTTAGATTCACAGTAGGATCATCATTTTAAAAATGCTGTTTAAATGCTGTTCACAGCTGAGCTGTGCAATATATATACATCATTCATTTCTTTTCCTTGTACAACCTCTTGTTTTCCCTGAAACTGTTAGGGGTCTTTTTAATGTATGCTTTCCATGGATTATTAATAGAGACTGTCTCCGTCTCCGTTCAGGAATACTAGATTCTCTATCCGTTTCACCTTCCGGAAGGAATTCCTCCAGGAACCTGCCCCCCATGGGCTGGCTGCTCCCATGTCTGTGCATGGCGGCCACCGCCCCGCCTTCCAGCCCTCCTGGGGAGCCCCTGGACCACATGGCTTTGCCTTTCTGTGTTGTCCCCCTCACGCCAGCTGTTTGCTGATAGTAGCCTTCTGGGAAAAAAAGGTATATGGCAGGCAAAATGTTTGAGGCCTTGCACATTTAAAAATGTTTCCCCGTAGTTTTATGTCTTCCAAGAATCCCACTTAGAGGTGCTGGTAGTGAGTCTTTTAGTGGAAAAAGTGAAAGTCAGCAGATACAGTTATTTGCCATCCTTGTTGACCCTGAAACAGTACCTGTCTTTCTCCAATTGCTTGTCTTTCCCATTTGGGCATAAACTCCTGGAGGGCAGGCCCGTGTCTGCTCTCAGCACCTGGCACAGGGTCCGACGTTGTGATCAGACCATAGATCTTAAGGCAAAAAGCCTCTATTGCAGTTAAGATGTGGGTGATGCTGGAGCGGATTTTCCTGAGCTGTTGGAACCCCGAGACTGCTAGCAATACCTGCTTTGTTCTTGGTTCAATGTGAATTTATTAATCGGGGTGCATTCCGTTGTTACCTGCCTGGCAGGCCCTGCGTATCCAGTGATGCAGAGCAGACAGCCTCTGTCCTCAATGCGTCACTGATGCCAACAGAGTTGTCATCATCCTTCTCCTGGCCGCAGGTTGGAAGATGTGGCTCAAAAACTATTTATTCGCAACATACCCTAAACTCTCTTGAAACGAGCTATTGTATCGCACTGTTGGCTGAGCTCACAGTTCTGTCATTATCTTCCAGGTGGTCACCATGGGCCTCTTCCGTATGCTCTCTTTGTTTTACCTGGGAAGTTTCGACAACATAATTCGTCGCTGCATGTTAGAAAGAACAAAATATGAAACTGCCGACAAAACTGCCTAAACCTTGGGAAAAAAAAGAGCATTTCTAAATAATGTAAGCAGCTTGCTGCTGGACGGGACCCAGTTTTTGGACCACAGACACTTGCGTATTGCTTTTGAACCTGTCAGATGGGACCAGCGGTCTTCGGCAACCTGGCTGCGAGCAAGGGGATAGAAGTTCAAGTGCAGACAGTACTATTCATACTATGCAAACACGGACTGGGAGACCATCTGGTTCCCTGGGAGGAGAGGCGATGACGGTGGGGGAACTAATAGGTGCGAGCCGGCCAGGAGCAGGACTCCAGGGGGGTCATTTACCTTTCTCCTAGTTATTCTTTCCCATCCCCTTAGAGATCAAGTCCAGAGATGGACTGTATGACACATAAGATGTTGTGAGGACTTCTTAAACTTGCCATGTAAAACAGTTTATGGGTTTCTGAGGCCTTTTTTTTTTTCCCTCTTTAATTTCATGTATTTTATTCAAGATGAGTTTTACACGTTGCTGGTAAGTCTGATTACCTGATGCTTCTGGCTCCCTGTGCTGCTTGCTAGTGGATGCTTGTGGATTCTCTCGCTCTTCGATCCCACACCATTCCAAGGGGATGGGAGGGCAATGCAGAGAAGGGAAGGGGGGAGGTATTTTCCAGTAGGAAAAACCATGCTTTCTTATCTTCTTTAGGTTCCAGTTATTAGGGCACTTCTCATTTTTCACTCGGGGCAAGGCAGCCTCCTACAATGTTTTTTTGAAGAGGAATAAAATCTTAGAAGCTTAAACATTTACCATTTCTTCACTAGCCGTGATGAGCTGAGGTTTCATTCCATTGTATCAACAGTTTATCCTCATCTCTTCCTTTCCAAGTTTGCTTATACTATTACAATTTTTTTTAAAAAAGACCAGTTAAAAATTTTTGACTTGACTTGTTCAGTTCATTCATGAATTAGTGAAAACAAAGAAAAAAAATTGAGATGTGAGACAGTCTTCTCATAGTATATATGTAACTTTTAGGAAAGGCTCGTGATAGCATATTTCAAGTTCACTCATTGAGGGGGGAGAAAAAGGTGGACAACAAGCCGATTTTGAAGATGCTGGTTTTGGGAATGAAATGACCGCCTCGCCCTTTTGTGGCCCTCCCACGGGCCGCCAAGTGTTCTCTCTGAACCTCGCATTAAAGATGCCCAGTCAGCTGCTCACAGCAAAGCGTGGAACCTTGCGGCCCCACGGATGCTGTTTGCAGGCTGCAGCCTCCGTCGTCCATTTCGTGGGTCCCACAGTAAGTGCCTCGGATGCGTTTTAGGCAGCGAGGCACTTCATCCTGTCATTGTGCGCCTCTGACCCGAGGACAGTCACCTTCGTCCTAATGTGGTGCCCCACCTCGCACGGCCAGGATGCGTGTTGAGCTGTGCATTTCAGCTCACTTGGGTGAAGCAGACCCCTGCTTATGAAGAGGAAAGTTTTTATTGTTAAAAAAAAAAAACCAAAACTCCCCAAAAGATTAAAGACCTAAAAATGATAGCAAAGCCTTTTTTTCCTCTTGAGTTTTTAAACCTCTTGACTTTAAAATGACTTGATTATTTTTTAAGTAAGATGTTTAATGGCTTTCACTCAGAGGGCCTCATTAATCAGAATCTGAGAATGGCATAGTTGAACACTATCAAAGGAAGGAGAAGTTACTATTTAAGGTGTGAATGGCTTGGGGTGAATTAAGGGCAGCCGCCTGGGTGGGTCGAGGGCCTCACGAGGTCACGAAGCTCGGTCTTTGGTCGCCATCATCTGCAAACTTTGCAATGTCTCAAATGCAGTAAGAGCTGTATTTTCCTAATTCTCAGAAAACAATTACACTCCTCTCTGGGTTTTTCCTCAAGTTTATTCTTTCCTCATAAATGTTCCTCAAATGTCGGCACCTTCTGCTGGTCTGTGTGGGAAATCTAGTCCAAGATGGTGTCTCATTTAATAAAAGTAATGAGTTAACAGTAGTTATTTCAATATTCGTTTCTCAAGTTGTCCTCCTTGACAGTACTGTGACTGCAGGTGACCTACTGCCTGGACAGGTGTGAGCCCCCAGGTCCGTGGTGAGAGGTGATGTCCCCACGCCGTCTGAAGCTCAGGCACAAGGGCATATGGGTGGCGATCACACCGTCAGGGAAGGGGCTCGTCACAGACGCCGCAGGGCCACGGTCCTTTATCCAAACAGCTTCGAGAACTAAGGTGCTTTTTGTTTTCCTCTCTCAATTGGGTGCCATGATGCCTTTGATAGCAAGATGTGACGTGAACCGACATGAGATCCGTAGTTTCTGTTCATGCCCCTTCATGGACTGTTTGTTGGTTTTGCCTGGAGAACGACCCGTGGGTTTGATGATCAAGGTGGCCTCCCGATTCTGTGGAAATGATTCGCATCTCCAGCATATGCCCCATGTTACCTGTTCGGAATGCAGATGCGAATGCTGGGACACATCTGGCCGGAAGGCATTTGGGTAAAGGGATTGCAGACGTTTAAGCGGCGTTACGCAAAGAACCGACTTCACCAAAAACATGGACGTATCACAAGGCAAATTCTATTTATTTTTTTGGCTCAGTTCCTTTCTTTCTTTCTTTCTTTTTTTTTTTTTTTTTTACAGGAAGAAGAAAAAAAAGCCCTGAGTCAGATTGTTAGGGAAATGATTGGCTTTTTTCTTTTTAAAGGAGCACATTGATTCAGTGCTTTCTATTGTACCTAGAAGTGGATACATCTTCCCTGTGGCTGGAGGAGTTTAATTATAATTCTGTTGAAATGTTGGTTCCCTGTGACCAGCATCAGCTCATTATGTGAGTTTCAGTTCTGAAGTGCCTGTCTCTGCCGGGTTTGGCTGTACTGTTTTATTATAATGTATTTGTGAGTACATTTATTTTAGAATGGGTAATGTCATTCAGCCTTAGAAATTCCAAAATGTGTTCAAGGACCCTTCATAATTGAAAAAGGTATTTAAAAAAATATGCATTTCCTTTTATAGAAACAAAGTCAAGGGAATTATTTTCTATATTTTTTAAGTTTCATTTTCAGAGCTGAAAAGAGAAGAAATTTACAATGTTAACGATGGATGGTCTCTTTACTAACTCAGGTTGAGCTTTGAATCTTTATTTTGTTCTGTTGTTAAACGATATATCGAAGTGAAGTGTTGAGAGACTTTCCAATATTTAGACGACAGAAGCATTTTGGTTATAATTGCTTTGATTCAAATAATTATAGAAGACAGTACTGTAATTTTTTTTTTACTGAAATATCAACAGATTTAATTTTATTACATCATATTCTAATTTAAATGTGTCTTATTTGAGAACACTTATTTATACTTTTGACTTAAGATGCTTTGAAGCTTCCTTATTTCTTTTAGTTTTTAGTGACCCTACTTTAAAAAGCACCTGCTAACCATAACTTTCCGTCTTCTGGGCTAAATCTCATTTAGTTCAGTGCAGTGATGGCAGCTTTGATATTTTGAGAAGGAGATAGCAACTATTATATTTTACACTTGCTTGATGTCACAACTCTAAAGACTTTTTTTAAACCCAACAGTACACATGGCTATTTTGATATCTGAGACCTTGCGTTTGCTACTTTGGAAGCTACTTTGTGGCGTAATTGTAACCTAGTTTTCATACCTTGTATTTCTGAATGACAACAAAAATAAATGGGAATAAGCTTTGCAGATTTGAAAATTTACTTTGCTAGAAATATGCGTTTTTAAAGAGACACTTACGTAAAACATAAACCTCCTCCATAAGGTTTCCTAACCTTGCTTCTTGAACACTTGACAAGGCTTGATTGATTTTCATCATTTTTTAAGAGGTAATTTTTCAGAGTAAGTACTTGATATGATGAGCTCCGTTTCAAATAGGTTGTGTGTTTGCGTGACTCTGATGTGGGATCTATGAGTAAAACTCTTAAGAAATGCGGAATTTAGTCAAATTTCTTAATTATGTTTCATGTACAAATAAATTGATTTCCCATACCTTAAACCTTCATATTCTAATAATAAAATATCTCTGGTGCTGAAGGGTATAAATACTGATATGTAAAAGAGCACACCTTGACGTCTCTCAGTCCTTTAGTAGAAAAGCTTGTGTCACATTGAGAAGAGATTTCTTGGACATCTGGGTTTGGAAACTTCACCTTCCTTTACGTCTGAGCAATGTATATATGTGAATGGCATACGGTATCCCTTCTATAATTTTTATTTTTGGAGCTTTACGAAGAAACAATGTTTCTTCTGTTCCACTTCTGATTTTATAACTCCCATTTTCTCTCCTTCGGTGTGTATTTATGGAGTGCCTGTGATGAGCTCCGTCCCAGGCCCTGGGCTCCTAAGTGCATCAACAACTTGTCCCTCCCTTGGCAGTTCCATTTCTTGCTTCTTTCCCTCCCCCTCCCTCTTCCCTCTTACAAGTCTCTTTGGAGAAAGGACCACTCCCCATTCCTTTCTTTGGCTTGGGGCCTCTGAATTTTATGCCATGAATATTTGAATGCCAGGCACTATTCTAGGCTTGGAATGCTCAAAGGAAAAATACGGTCCCTGCTCTCCAATAGTTTATAATCTAGAGGAATGCCAGAAATTAACACTGTGGATCCAATAATAGCTATGATGAAGCTGCAAATAAGTAACGTTGAAAACATAACCAGTCCCAGTCACTGTTGTGGGTGCTTTACATTGAACTCATGTAAGTCATGCTCTAAGCTCCTGAGTGCATAACCCCCTCCCCCCGGCCCTTACTCACAGAAGACATGTTTGAAGACCCTCAGTGGAGGCCTTCAACCACAGGGAGTACTGAACCCTATAGATACTTTGGTTTTCCTATACCATGTGATAAAATTGAAGTTATAAATGAGGCACAACAAGAGATTAACAACAACCAGCAATAGAACAATTAACAATACACTGCTATAAAAGCTATGTGAGTGTGGCATCATCCAGTAAAATTAGGGTGACCCGAACACAAGCACTGAGACAACGGGACTATGGATCTGGTGACAGAGAGCCACTAAGCAACAGAATGGGTAGGGAGCGTCCACAGCTTGGACAAAGGGGTGATTCACCTCCCACGTGGGACAGAGCGGGATGGCAAGAGATTTCATCACGATACCCAGACGCGCAATTTAAAACTTGGGAATAGTTTACTTTTGGAATTTTCCATGTAATGTTTTTGGACCTTGGTTGACTGGGTAATGTGAAACTGAGGGTGTTGGGGGAGGGGCCGTTTAGGTCCCCGTGTTCTAAAGGAGGGCCCAGTACTTGGGCCAAGGTCACGTGTACCAAGCCATAGAGCAAGGATTCAGATCCCTGTGTTGATTCCTTAGCTCACAGCCTCTACTGAGTCTCTTCTCGGGGCGCAAGTGGAATCCTAGGACTGCCCAGGAAAGTCGGGGACAGTCTTACCGGGGAGATGGAAGTTGAGGAATGCGGATGCGTTTGCCATGAGAAGCCTGAATGCATTTCAGGGAGATGAGCGGAGGAGCAGAGGCGAAAGCTGTGAGGGACCTTGACATATTCCAGAAAGTGCACAAAGGTACTCTTGCTGCAAGAAGAGAGGAAAGTGGAAGGGCGCCCCGGCGGTGGGCTTGGGCCATGTGTCATGCCGTGTGAAAAGAGCTGAGATTTTAGCCTCTGAAACACTTTGAGCAGGAACAGGGACAGATTCGAGCTTCAGAAAGATCCCGGTTCCCCTGGAAATTCAGGAGTTGGTGAGTCCCTGGGCCTTAAAATAAACAATCCTCATTTGTTTTGAAAGGTACCTTACTGGATACATATTATGGGTGTAGTTGTGTGCCCTCAGAGCAGGTTGGTGTCCTAACCCCAAGTACCTGCAAATATGGTCTTATTTGGAAATAGAGTGTTGACAGAAGTGACCAAGTAAAGACAAGCTTATTAGAGCCCTAACCCAATAGGAGTGGTGACCGTGCAATAAATAGGAGGACACAGACACGCAGGCAGAGCGCCATGTGATGACGGGGCGTGGAGGGATGCACCCACAAGCCAAGGACTGCCCGCCACCACCAGAAGCTGGAACAGGCAAGGAAGTCTTTTCCCCTGGAGCTTCAAAGGCAGCACAGCCCTGCTGACACCTTGATTTTTGGATTTCAAGCCTTCAGAACTGTGGGAGAACATACCTCGGCTTTAAGTCCCCCAGTTTGGGGTATTTTCTCATGGCAGCCCTAGAGATCAAAGCCTTGATTTTTCTACATGTATTGATCAGGAATTAATGTCTGGGAGACACTGTTCTAACTCGCACGAGAGAGTGAAAGTTAAATTTTTGCCCATTAAGAATGTAAATTCCTTGTCTGTTAACCCCCTGGGTATCATGGTGTTTCAGGTTGTTTGGTTCTATTAGTGCTGTTTCAATCCAGGGAGAGTAGTAGGCATTTGGAAAATAGAAGTTTCCTCCTTTTATCTCACTTTAAAGTCAAACTCATTAATTTGAAAGGGAAAAATTACTGCAAGTGAATTTCCAGCGCGTTCCTTTGTAAACCCAAAGTAAAGTAAAAGTTAACTTGCCCGCTATTAAACTTTCATAAAGAATGATTGATCTGCTGGACATTGCCTACTTTCAAAGGTGGTTGTTTAATTATTCTAAACATTTCTGAAGTTGAGGACCAGCAAGCTCAGAAACCCAGGTTCGGAGAGCTTCCTGATGGTAAGGGTGGTTTGAGAGGATGGACGGAGCAGGCGACTTTGACGTGACCGCTCCTGCAGCAGAGGCTCGGGAGCACGAGTAATTGGGGAACAGCGTTACTGGTAGTATCAATACAGTGTCCGGCACAAATAATGCTCCTTGTGTATTACAAAATCATAAGCATGTAATTTGGTAACATAATATCACACTCAAGCACAGCATATGACATTTTAGGTGAAATGTTCAAATTAAAACTATAAATTATTACACCCATATTATTACCCTTACCGACCACACTCAAGCAGGCTATCCTTCTGCCAGACCCTGTATTAGTAACTAGTTAGTAACATTATTACACGCTTGCCGACCAGGTATACAAACCATTTGAGAGTATGGCACTAAGCATACACGTTTATAATGTAGCCCTGACCAGTGTGGCTCTGTTGGGTGTTGTTCAGCAAAAGAAAGGTCACCAGTTCAATTCCAGGTCAGGGCACATGCCTGGGTTGCAGGTTCAGTCCCCAGGCAGCTTGCGTATGAGAGGCAACAGATCTATGTTTCTCTCCCCTCCCTCCCTTCCCCTCTCTTAAAAATAAATTTTAAAAATATTTTTAGAAAAGAATTTATAATGTACAAGATACTCATGCCAACTACATCTCAATAAAGCTGGAAACTGATTTGGAAGATTCTTGAAACTGGAAATTAGCATTTTGGATTGTTTATCTAGGTCTGTGAAATGTTATTTTTTAAGCACTTTGCTTTTCCGCTTGTGAGGACTATATGGACTACCTGATTTTACTCTCTCTGGTCAGTTTGTTTTGTGTATGGATTTATCTCCATTTCAATTTGCCTAAATGGTTTGGGGTCATCTTTTATATTTTTTAACTCTTTTGTCTTAACTATTATCAATTCTCTCTCAAAGATGCCTTTCTGTCCTCATTTTAAATAAAAAGCTTAATAGCTGGGAATGTTTTATGCATACCTATGTTAAACATCAGTATAATATGTCCAGATTAAAAGAATGTTTTTCTTGAATTTCATAAACTTCGGAAATATTTATATTGGTGATAGATAAAGAGAGCTTTCTCAATGACACCATTACACATCAACCAGTAGGTGGCGAAAACTGGCAATAAAAAGCTTTTTGTTTGGCAGACTGGAGAAAAAAGAAGGAAAACACAGGCCTTTCAGACTCTGGATACAGGCTCCACTCCCTGCGTCTTGTTCTTCTCTTCCTGGTGCTACCCTCCTCCTAGAATCCAGCCGGGCAATGCTGGCAAAGAGCTTGTCTATTGGCTGTTAACAGTAGAAGACATCTTGGGAAATGAAAAGTCCGTAGCGCACACATTTGGAAGGGTGCTGGAAGGTGTCTGTCACAGATCTGAGGTTCAAACCCAGGGCTCCTGACTCAGGCCAAAGCTCCCTCTGCAACCTCATCAACGCCCAGAGACAAAGGGCTAAGGCACACACTTCGGAGGAACGCTTGGCCTCATTGTTCAAAGCGGAGTCTAATCAATATGGAACCCAAATGGAAGAAGGGTTTCAATCTTTCCATTCAAAGTCTCAGGGAATATAATCCTTAGTCAAGGACTGCCATGAAGACCTGTCCTGAGAATGTTTGGTGATGGTCATTGTGCCACATACAGAGTCAGTCTGGGGACATCTGTAAAGTGAGGCTCTGCGCTGCAAAGGAGGGGAGGAATAAGGAAGCTTGTCTTCCTCTGGGAATGGGGTATGTTTCGTTCTGGCTGCCCCTTTGCAGAAGTATAGTCTCTTTTCCAGCTCTGTCCTCTCATTTCCTCACTCACACACTGGGTCTCAGAAGCACTCAGCCTTTCAATTCCTCCTGAGTAGTTTTGGAGGTTTACGACAAGGTTCTGAGAAGATCCCCAAACCAGAATGCTGTGGAATTAGGTGGGTTTCTACTAAGTCTGTGGGAACACGTATCAAGGGTCAATCTATACCCAGTGTCCATCTCCAGGCCAGCACACCTCCCTGTCACGGCCACGGGTACAAGGGGACTCTGTCACAGCCCCCAGAAGACAGGGCAGAGCACCTTCCTTCATTCCCTCTCGCCTGGACACGAAGTGTGGACCAGGCGCTCATTCCCACATGCAAGAAGTTGGCATGTGGGCCGATTGGGATGATTAAAACAAAACCAAACAAAAAAAGGAATGCAATTTGCTGTGCTTACTTGGCTTAGGAATAAGTGCTTTGCTTTTAGGTGCAGAACGAGACAAAATAAAGGTAGCGTCTGAACATATTCATACAAAGTGCAGCGCTCATTGGTCATGTTTCTATGGCCACAGTCCAGAGTCCCTATACATTCGTACTTGAGCCCTAGTGAGCAAGCTGCCGTGCTTTTCGTAAACATGGTTTTCCTCTAGGCTTTATTTGTCAAAAGACTCTTGGAGATAAAAATAGTTAAGCACGTGCAACTTGATTGCAGTCTTGGGCTTTTCTCCGAGGGGCTATTCATGCTGATGAATTAAAAAATGTGTGTGCTTGTATGTACATATGTGTGTGTGTGTAACATGCGTGTGTGTGTAGCTCACTTGAGAAGGTGTGGCCATCTGGGATTGGCTGCTAGGCGACCGTGGAGGCCTTTAGAAACCCACCCACTCGGATGCTGGGACTGTGGGCCTGAAAGTTGCCATGTAGACCTTCCCAGAGCCCGGCCCTAACCCAAGGCCGAAATTGTCAGGAGCGGAGGAAAAGCATGTACAGAACCATTTCAAAGCCCCGATCTCCTCCACTCGCCCCTCCGCCGGCCCGCTGGGAGTTCCGTCTGGCCTTGGTCTTGGATGGTGTCTCCAGAGTGTGTGTTCTGCGTGGACACCTAGGAAGCAACTTGAAAGTAAACAAGACGCTTGGAGCTTCCCTCGCTAACGACTGTGCAGCGTCGCCTCTCTTCACGGGAGGGCAGCGCCGAGGTCCCTGTGCTTGGGTTCGGATCGGCCTCGGCGGCCGGGCGCTGGTAACACGATGGGTGTGTACGTACACACACACACACACACACACACACACACACACGCCACTCACACGGCTCGGAAGGGTCGCAGCGAGTCCCCGCGCTTGTTTTCTTGGCGCACCCACCCACCCAGCCGCCGCCAGCCCGGCTGCGTGTAATTCCCCGGGCGCCCCGGCCCCTCGCGGGCCCCGAGCGCGCCGCAGGCCCGAGGAGGCCCCTCGCACACCCACCGCGCCGCGGCCGCGCGGGAGGCCTGCGCCGCCCGCGCCGCCCGCGCCACCCACCGGCCGGGCGGAGCGGGAGGAGCGGGCCCAGAGGGCGGGCGGGGGCCGTCCCAGGCGCGCCCTCCCCGGCTCGGCCCTGCGCGCCATGTGTCCCCGGCGGAGCGCGCCGCTGCCCGCCCGGCCGCGGCTCCTTTAACCCGGGAAAAGGAGCGGGGCGGAGGGGGCGGCGGGGCCGCTCAGAGGAGGGCTCTTTCTTTCTTCTTTTTTTGAATGAACCGTGTGACGTACGTACAGGAAACCAGTCGGTTCGAGCGGAGAATGAAGTAAGAGGCCAGGCCCCCCCGCCCCGCGCCCGCCCCCTTCCTCTCCGCCCCCTCCCCCGCCCGCCGCGCGCCCGCTGGCCCGGCCCGCTCGCCCGCCCGCAGCTCTCGGTTTCCCCGCCGAGCCGCCGACGCCGCCGCTGCTAGCGAAGGTGCCGGGCGCCGGGCCCTCCCCGCCGGCGCGGCCGTCATCGCCCGGAGCGGGTGCGCGGCGGGAGCGCGGGGAGACGGCCGCCGCCAGCAACGCCGCGCAGGAGCAGGAGGAGGAGAAAGGGTGCGCAGCCCGGAGGCGGGGTGCGCCGGTGGGGTGCAGCGGAAGAGGGGGTCCAGGGGGGAGAACTTCGTAGCAGTCATCCTTTTTAGGAAAAGAGGGAAAAAATAAAACCCTCCCCCACCATCTCCTCCCCACCCCTCGCCGCACCACACACAGCGCGGGCTCCTCGGCTCTGCACCGGCGGGCCGGGCGCGTCCTGCCTTCATTTATCAAGCAGCTTTTCGGAAAATGCATTTGCCGTTCGGAGTTTAATCAGAAGAGGATTCCTGCCCCCGTGCCCGGCGCGTCCACCGGCCCCCGGCCCCTGTCTCTCCTGAGGAGGCGTGAAGCGGTCCCGCGGATAGGGGTCCATGTCGGTGCCCGCGCGTGTGTGCGAGCGTGTAAATTGCCGAGAGGGGGGAAATCACAGGACTTATGCAAATACTGGACTGAACGTTGTAATTCATCTGCCGCCACCGCTGCCCCCCCGCCCTCCTTTTTTTTTCTCGTGCTCTTGAGCTCTCCGGTTGGGATTCCTGCGGATTGACATTTCTGTGAAGGAGAAGTCCGAGAATCCATCTGCCAGTTCTCGTTTTTACCCCTCCGCACGCACCCCCACCGCCGGGTTCATTTGGAAGTTTCACAGCAGCTATCACCGGGGAGTTCGGAAGATCGATGGGGTCTTTGCCTTATGCATTTGTTTTGTTTTCACAAAAAAAGGAAACTTGACAGAGGATCATGCTGTCCTTAAAAAATACAAGTAAGTTCTTTTGCACAGGAAATTGGTTTAATGTAACTTTTAATAGAAGCATTTGGGATGTTAACTTTAAGTGCATTCGAGTAAGTTTAATTTCCAGGCAGTTTAATACAATCTTTTTAGCCGTGTGATTGTAGTGTGTGTCTGCTCTGCCTTCACCCAGAATGTAAAGGAAGATGCACCTGATTTTGACTTATCGGTGTTGTTGTTTTTTTCTCTCTAACCTTTCAGGGTCATAGAGGAAGTAAACTGATATTGACAATAATTAATAATAATGTGCCTCATGAAATAAAGATCCGAAAGGAATTGAAATAAAAATTTCCTGCCTCTCATGCCAAAAGGGAAACACCAGAATCAAGTGTTCCGCGTGACTGAAGACACCCCCTCATCCAAGAATGCAAAGCACATCCAATAAAATAGCTGGATTATAACTATTCTTCTTTCTTTCGGGGCCGTGGGGCGGGAGCGGGGGCGAGAGGTGCTGTTGGTACCCGGCTGCTTTTCCTCGGCTTTTCCTCGGGGGAAGGATGGCGCACGCTGGGAGAACAGGGTATGATAACCGGGAGATAGTGATGAAGTACATCCACTATAAGCTGTCGCAGAGGGGCTACGAGTGGGATGCCGGAGACGTGAGCGCCGCGCCCCCGGGGGCCACCCCAGCGCCGGGCATCTTCTCCTCCCAGCCCGGGCGCACCCCGGCGCCCGCCAGGACCTCGCCGCCGCCCCTGGCCGCCCCCGCCGCCGCCGCGGGGCCTGCGCTCAGCCCTGTGCCACCTGTGGTCCACCTGACCCTGCGCCAGGCCGGCGATGACTTCTCCCGTCGCTACCGCCGCGACTTCGCCGAGATGTCCAGCCAGCTGCACCTGACGCCCTTTACCGCGAGGGGACGCTTTGCCACGGTGGTGGAGGAGCTCTTCAGGGATGGGGTGAACTGGGGGAGGATTGTGGCCTTCTTTGAATTCGGTGGGGTCATGTGTGTGGAGAGCGTCAACCGGGAGATGTCGCCCCTGGTGGACAACATCGCCCTGTGGATGACAGAGTACCTGAACCGGCACCTGCACACCTGGATCCAGGATAACGGAGGCTGGGTAGGTGCATTTCTGGTTGGATGGGAGTCTGGGATGGAAGTCTCAGGTCTGAGACGCGGTGGTTGGAGTGTGGGTGGGCCCCCGGGCCCAGGACTGGCCAAGGAGCCGGCGGAGGAAAATCAGGCTTGTTGCTTCCCACCGTCTTCCCTTGGACAAAACTCGTCCCGCCAACCCTACTGTGATCATTCCTTGCCACCCAAAGTGTTTCCCTTGCTTGCCAGCTGTTGAGGTTCAAAGAGCCAGCATTTGCTATCCAGTAAGAGGATGGGATAAACGGGACCCCTCTAGGGCTGCCTCGTCCGGGGGGCCCCACGGTCCCCCGCAACACGGTTAGCCGGCCCGCGTAGCTCGTTGAAATGGGAGACCCCCGTTGGGTCCTGGCGGTCCGCATCCTCCACAGACTCCCCTGGGGGTTTCTTCTTGGTACTAAAATGTGAGAACCACCCAGTTAGAAGAACAGACTGCGCCCGAGGACCAAGGGGCAAGCTTTTTTCTGACTCACTTGGTGAAATCTACCCCAAGAGGGCAGCCAAGCTGGCCCCTTCCCTGGAAAGCTTAGCTGTGTTTTGGAAGAGGTAAGTCGGCTTTCCAAAAGCCCAGGGACCCCAGCCTGCAGGGTGTGCCACATTCCCAGTGGGCGTGGCCGAGTGACTTGAAGAGCACTCAGCTGTGGATGCTTTAGTTTGTCTCATCAGTGACAGCATTTGCATTGGCTGCGAACTTCACGTCCTATTTCTATAACGGGTGTACGGTCTTCACTGGGATTTTAGTATCTCTGAGTTTTCACCCCCCTGCCCCCCAGACCCCACATCATCTGGTTCCTGTGCTGCACACACTTGCGCCTACAGTACCTGCAAGAAGCGTAGAAGAAGTGATTCTTAGCTGTGAATTCTCTCGGGCTCTGCGTGTAGCTGAAGTGGTCGATGTCTGTAGTTTTGAGAAGCATCTGTGAGATGATTTTTTTCTGGGACTGTGTTGGATAGAGTTTCTGTCATGTTACCATAAAGGCCTGTGTGTGTGTGTGTTAGATCCTTGGGGAAGGGAGAAGAATTGTAATTGAGATCTACACCTTGTATCTAAAATTACTAATTAATGAAAGAGTACACGAGGGGTAATTCTGGTCTGAATTTTTTTTCCAGACTTTTTGTTTTAAACTACAGAATTACCTTTGAAAAAGGAATCAGTTCAGTGCTTCCTTTTATAGTCTCTAGGGAGAATTACTAATGTTATTATTTTATAGGACCTAACAGGAGCAAAAAGCCTAGAAACAATTACCAGTGGATTCAGTCTCAAGAAGCATGTTACGTATTTTACTAGTTTACAAAGTGTGTGGATGTTAAGGAGCCAAAAAGAGAAAAGGCCAAGAAAAGTATATGGCTGACAGGAATATCTTATCCTGCTTTACCAAAGCTGACAAAATGTTCATGCTACTCTTTAATATTTAAGAGTGAAATTGGCTAAAATACCACCCCCCCATTTAAATCTTTACTTTCTAGTACTCCTTGTAAATTGGTTGTTTGTTGTTGTTTTTTTGAGATGCTATATTATCAGATCTTTAGTAATTCTGGAAAAATTCACCAAGGGGCAGAAAGAATATTTTTGTTAAATGTTTGGTTAAGTAGGTGGTTTTATTTTTAACCACCATAACCAAAGAGGTACGGACTTCCAGACTCCAAAGTGGTCATTTTAAGACCAAAGTAAAACTGATTTAACAGTTTTACTATTTCATATTTTTATGAAAAGTAAAATATCTAAAAATTTTCTTTCTAGTTGACAGCAAGCTGAGGTGGTAACTGTCATCTATCAAGTAACTTAATAAAAAGATGGGAAACAGACATATGTTTATGATCGAAATTAAGATATAACTTTGATCATTGTTGTTGAGTTGTAGTAATCTCATGCAATTGAGTGTTCTTCTTAAGTGAAGGCTCACGTTTCCTCCTTTCAAAATAGAGTTTTTGTTGTAGAGCCCATCTTTGTGGTCAACAGGTATCTGAGGTTAATAAATGTAGAGGCTACATTTTATGATGCCAAACCACAACAACATACCATAGAACATGATAAAAAAATTTTTGACAAAACCTATTATAGTAAAAATAAATCAGAGAGAAGTACAAAAGGCTGAGGGTAAAATGTGGAGTTTTCAGAACAACAGATAGATGAAGGACTTTATAGGAAAATAGAAATAGGGCAAAAACTATATATCAGGAAATGCAATCAAAGTGGTCACGTTTGAATAAAAGTGGTAGGAATGATGTACCCATCCTTTCAAATGTGTATCATTAATGTAAATTTTTGTTTTAGGCACCTGGCATATAGACAGACAGACTTTCCTCCAAATTTGCATCTGTCAGGGTTGCATCTCTAATAACATGTTGCATCTTACAGTGTAAAGTACTCTTAATAACAGTAATAAAGTTTCAGAAGAGAGCTAGCACATTCTTTTTACATTTGACAGCGACTTGCGCTGGATCCAGGACTCAGTGGATCAACTTGTTTACTGAACAGATACTATTGGGGGCTTTAGACTTGAAGTCACAGTTTTTCTTTGCTGCTGCTGATGCAAAACCAGAACCTCTTGAGGCCACGAAAACTGTTTGCATTCCACGTTCCATAATTTGGAGAAAGCAGGGCCTTGGAATGAGAGACATTTGAGAGATGGTCCCAGAATCCTACAGATTACATAAAGACTAAAGAAGAAATTGGGTGTAGAGTGGGATGTGGCTTTATTCCTAACTCTGAATAAGGCATCGTGGGACGTCCAGACAGAGGCAGAACAGAGGGAGCAGAGAGGCAGCAGCAGTTCTAGGACATGGCCTGGACCCTGCTGGTCAAAGTGTGGTTCACGGTTCAGCAGCATGGGCGTCGCCTGGGAGCGGCTCAGAGATTCAGAATCTCAGTTCCCACCCCAGAGCTACCAAATCAGAGTCTGTGGTTCACACGCTCTACGGGAGTTTGCGTGCACATTAAAATTAGAGATGCACCATCTACTACTATTCCTGCGGAAGTCTTTTATAAAGACGGACAATCTGGGCCTCAGGTGTCCCTTGGCCATGGCTTCACAGGTCCATACTATTAACCCGTGGGGGAAATAAGTAGGAATGAAAGAGTCAGGAGATACACGATGATAATAAGCTCCGACTTCTCCTCAGTCGTTTTCATGGTAGTTACGCAGCTTGTATTGGCAGCACCCATGAAAGTAAGATCGCTTTCCTGCTTCGGTGGGAGGCAGGAGATTTAGTTCTTTTCATCTCTCTGTCGGTTATTGTTTGAGTGCCTTGTATCACAGTTTAAATTCAGTAGATGGGTTTAGCGGCCCCAGCACTGCTTCCAGAAGAAGGGCTCTTGCGAGCAAAGGGCTGAGATGCAGGGAAGTTGATGGTGAGTGAAAATTGGTAGCACTGTCCAAACTGAGAAATGTGCTATTGACTTTCATGTTTTAGAAGAGACTGAGCCGGGGGCTGCTGAGCGAACAACAGGGAGGACTGACTGGCTTCATTCTGCTGAGGAGATGGTGGTGCACCTTTGTTTTTTTTTTTTTTTCGGTCTTTTGGTCTTTGTGGTTTAGGAAGGCAGAAACTTCTCCACATCTAGTAGAGGTAGCTTCCTTTTTATTAGCTGGTCAACAAGCAATTTCTCTTTTCTGTATCTAGTCCAGTTCTACCAAAACATTTGATTAACTGGAAAGCAATACCATTCTCATGCCTGTGTACAAAATAACATGAAACAGCATCATTTTTCCAGGGGCTGAGTATCAGCGGCTAATGGCCAACTTTGGCAGCAAAATGATGAGATTAAAAATAGCCAGAAGATGATCCAGTCTTAAATAATATATTTAATGATGAACTTTCCTTGGGAAAGTGCATCTGCCTGCTAACAACCACATGACCCCTTTCAATAATTCATTTTGTAGAAAAAAAATACATGATTGCTCCTAGAGTTTGCAGTCATGTGCTGTTGAGTAATTATATTTCTGGACCTTTGTAAAATTTTATAGTTCACTCAGTTCTCTTTTCTATTTCAGGGCCGTGGTAACTATTTTACGTCTGTTGAAAACATGGCTTTTGTATACGCCTCCTGTTACTTTTAGCTGTGCCTTCTAGTGAGGACTGATTGATCTTGTTAGCACTCCTTGATTGAACTGGTACATTTCAGATTGCTTCACTGTCGTTAGGCCACACAGCACACCCAGTAACAAAAAGCCACAGTTTTTGTTTTGTTTTGTTTTGTTTTAAGCCAGACTCTTATAGTTTTTCCTTATCTCTGCTCCCAGGCCTCGCCAGCTTTCTGGAGGAATGATAACACACTCATAAAGCAGGTGTGTGGGTGCTGTTATTAATAGTGGTCTCTCCCACTCAGCACACCCCACACCCATTTCTGAGGTTACCCATCGCGTCTCTGCAATCGTTTAGCAAAGCAGGGTTTCAGCCGAAGCGCATTCGTGCTAGAAACACAACACTGTCTTTGTCGTGTACAGGTAGAAAGGTTTTTCCCCCAGAGATATATTGTATTTGAGGTTCAAAGGTTTTGTTAAACCTTTTTAAGGTAATCTAATATCACCTTATTCAGGTATAGCAGTACCTCCAAAGCTGGTCACCCTTTCCCCTGCTCTGTACAGAGATCACTCAGTGTATTTCCTTCCCTGGGAAGCTTCTCTTTTATCCCTCTTCGTTTGATTCCAACAAAATTAGTTTGACGTCTAAATGGAATTGACAATGAAAATCAGCCAAGGACGGAGACGGTTATTCAGCAGATGGGATCACAAGCCTCCTGTGTGCCCTGGGTTAGTTTGGGGCACGGGAAGGAAAGCTTCGCCCCTCTCCCGGGTCACCTCGCAGGCTCGTGCTGGGTGTCTCAGCCAACTCGTAGTTGCCACGCAGCCTGCTGGGCACAATCCTAGGCTTCAGAGGGAAAAGAAGAAATCTCAGGGTATGTTGTTATTTTGGGTACACATCGATCTTTGTCTAAGGAAGTTATTTCTAATCCTGTGGCTGTTCATT